TAAGGAGAACCCGAGAAACCCAAATAAAAAAGACCAACTTCAATAATATGCTCACAGAAATGATTAATAAGATTAGTATCAACTTTTGCTCCACCTCTTTTCTCCAAAGGGGACATGACCATGTTCGGATCACCTCCAACAAACCAGTTAACAGCAATAGAAACACCCATATGGATAAGTTGTTGCCAAAAAAGAAGTTTATCTTGTAATAAAGAGTTGGCATAAACAAAGGTAGCCCAACCATGGAACTCCTCCAACGTATAATGAACAATAAAATATTGCAAATCATCCTCAATGATGTTTAATTGAACATCCTTCTTCCAAAGAAGCCATATTTTGTTGTTCTTATTGTTAGGTATTTTTGCATTTTTAATAATCCTATCCTTATAAACAGCAACAGAGGCTCCAAAATTACAAAAATGTCAGGCTTATGGACCCTACATAAATAATTTAAACGATTACTGGAGTGGGGTTTGCCACTCCCCTAATGTTCGACACTAATATGTTAAGCATGTTGGCCAAAAGCACCGCTCCTAGTGATCCTAGTGGGAAGGTGCAAGTGCTCTCCTTCAGAATGATATGTGACATCAATTATGTTTGAGGTTTTCAAATTAGAAATTTCAGATTTCCTTCTTTCTCTCTTCCTACTGTATTTTTGGATGCTCCATTCAGAATCCAAGGCCAAAATAGCATCAGCAACAGGGTCCAATGGCTGAACACCAGCAGGTTCAATAGATAGTGAGTGTATAGGAGTAGAGGGCATAGCAGGGGGCAGCTGGGATGAAATAGTTTGGGGAGTTTCCTCTGTGGGTAATTCCCTAGAGGAAGTATTGGCTATAGGTAATTCAATGACATTATCAACCATTAAATCGGAGCTATTAATTGAAGATGAAAATTTTTGAGATAATGTGGGGAGGTGTGGGCATTGTGTATCAGAAACCAGATCCACTCTGGCTTCAATACTCTCAATAATTGGTGGACCATCAAGCTCTTCGGCACCATGTTGCATAGCAATATTCTCTTCCATATAAGGGACATTTTGTTCTATCTCTGGAGGTGATCTCTGGATAATCTTATTCTCAGCAGAGGTCAAATGATATGCGCTACTTTTCCTTAACTGAGGATGTAGGTGAAAGCATTGCGCCGAGTCGTGTCCAAACATGCGGCAATGGAAGCAGTAGTGAGGATGCTTCTCAAGAAAAACCTGTTGTCGGTACACAGTATGTGTAGAACCTATCCAAACCTCTTCTGAGGGTGGTAAAGTGACATCTCTTTCAATTAAAATTTTAGCCATGAAGGGTTCTGTTAAGTTAAAAGTCGGAGCATCTAACATAGCAGTTTGCCAAACATAGCAGCTAGAGAGAATAATATCTCGTGGTTAAACAGGTGCACTTTCAACCCAGGAAGACGAAGCCAAACCGGAATAATTCGAAGCTCAGCTCGGGGGTCAAAATCAGTATTCCATTTTAGGACTTTCATCAAAACATCTTTAAAAAGAATAGTTCTACGAGCAAAGAGTTTAGCATAGTCATCCTCATAAGAGAGCTGAATCAGAATATGTCTACTATCAAGAGCTCCAATATTCCAACGCCCAGCCAAATTCCAAAGCTCAATCTGTTTAAGAAGAAAATCAAATTTCGGTGGTCTATAGAGAAATTTTCCCACCAGATGAAAACGACAAGTAGAAGCCAGAATAGTGTTCTCAGTGCTTCTTAATGAAGTTGTACTCCCCTCCAAGATTCAAAGATTCGTGAAAAGAATAAGGAAAAGCAAACTTTGGAGCATCACCGGAGGAGGAGCCTCCGCCAGTGACTCCGGCATAAGTTTTTGTCATAGACGGCTAGAACTAAAAAACCGAGGAGCAAGAAATGAGCACGAAGGAGGAGCCAATACAAGAAAGCAAAAGGAATGATCTCACCAACCTCCGGCAGACGAGACAGAAGAAACACCGTCAGCATCCCGAAATCACCTCCAGAGCTCCGGGAAACCCAAACCCTAGCAGAGCTCCTGAAACATCCATCCCGCTTATATATATATCACACACACACACACACACACACACACACACACACACACACACACACACACACACACACACACACACACACACACACACACACACACACACACACACACACACACACACACACACACACACACACACACACACACACACACACACACACACACACACACACACACACACACACACACACATATAGATATATATATGTATATATATACATATATATGTATATATATACATATATATACGTACATATGTATACAGATACATACGTACATATGTATACAGATACATACATACATATGTATACAGATACATACATACATATGTATACAGATACATACATATATATATGTATAGATACATACATATATATATGTATATAGATACATACATATATACATATATAGATACATACATACATACATACATACATACATACATACATAGATACATAGATACATAGATACATACATATAGATACATACATAGATACATATATAGTAACTTAGGTGTTAGACATATAAATAAATAAAAATTATGAGATAATGCATATAAATATTTATGCAAATCTCTCCCTTCTCTCTCTATGTCTGTTACGGAGCTTCGGATACATACAACTCTGTATATGAATGCACACACACACACATACATAGATACATGTGTGTGTGTGTGTTGTGAGAGTGTAAATTATTTTAATAAAAAAATTTTATGAAATTAAAACACAAGGTATATAACTTCAAATTTCGAGGGGAGTAAATGAAGCTAAAAGTGTTTGAGCTCAAGGAGGAGAAGGATTGGCCCACACAAAATTTTGTAAGAAAAAATTTAGGTTTATATAATAATTTAAATAATGAATTTTTAAAAAAAATATAAATTTAATAGGTAATTAAAATGATAACTAATTTAAATTTTGTAATATGTATCATTTTTAGGCTTCCAATTTTAGAAAAGTCGACATCAAAGCAAATCAAATTATAAATTAATCAAGATTGAGGTAAGCATTCATACATTTAATCTATGATAATATTTTAGTTTTTCCCTACTATTTTGCATTAGTAGATAATTGGGCAAGTTTTATTTGATTTATACGTTCTTTTCATTGTTGGTCATATTGTCTTTACATTTGTAACAACAACTATCATGCATTGGTATGTGTTATATATAATATATTGAATTAAATGCAACGAGCACATGAATGAAATGATTATATTAAATTCTTGTTTGCTCATGACTAACTTGATGGAGTCACCCCTTTATTGTACTTGCAGGAAAATGCTAAGGTGTTTATGCACGTAAATGAAAAATAATATTAATATTAAAGTTCCATAAGGTGTATAATTTTTAAACGGTGCTCATATAACGATTGTACAAATATAGAATAATATAGACATGCTATTGATATTACATGACTCAGTGAATAACATCAAATATAAGGGCAAATTATAGTTCACGACAAGCAGCTTCCTACTGAGAGCAACCACATACACCTCTAATACATGAAAAATTATTTGTAAATGACATAAATATACAAATTTATATACAACATGAAAGAACTATTATGGATTTATATGAAATGATTGAGATGGCTTCCCACAAGCTTGTCTGGTTGGTTGTTTTTGAGCTTTTTCAACATGAAAATAACCCGTTGATGATGAACGGTTGCAATGCTCTTGCAACTGAATTTTATCTTCTAGTCAATATTGAAACAGATCTATATCACTTGAAACAAGTTCTGACAAGCTGACAGGGCAACTAAGCTTCAAGGATTTATACTAAACTAAAAAATAACACAAAAGACAATTTTTTAAAACTGAATTTAAATGTCTTCTAGTTTAAAATATACTCCTTTTTATTCTGGCATTAATTCTATGAAAACGCCACCATATAATTATTTTTATTTCAACTTCGGTGCAAAGTAAAATATTTGAACATTCATATCATGTCAAAATCAAAAATATCACCATTTTAACTTTTAAAAAATGAAATTAATTTTTTCACGCAGATACGTAAAAACTTATGTTTATGTGTTGTTTTTTTATTAGAAAAGTTAAGCCCAGAGGACAATATGTACGATTCAAGCCCACGACCTCAAGGTGAGAAAGTAAACTCCCAACCATTGTGTCACAAAAAGGCGCACGAAATTTTGGTGTTATATATATAAATATATAAGAATTGATGTTATGTATGTAAATCGTCCACGAATGTATTGTTTAAGGTCTTATTTTGGTGCAGTTCTTATTTTAGGAAAATTTAAGGGTCACACCCCCACTTTATTCAAAATGAAAATAAATATTGATCCAACCAAAAGAAACAATGTAGAAAAATAATGTTCTTAATCCATATAAAAGATGGGAAATATATAAAAAAACTAAAAGAACAGTTTTCTCTGGCCAGAATGTACGCAGATATCAAAGCTAATCATCAAAACCTTGAGCTGCTTTCAAATTAAAAGAAGACTAACAGAAAAAATCAGATTATATTTGGAATCAGAAACTTGATTGCAGATTCTCTGTATTTTCAACATTTATCTCCCTTAATAAAAGAGTTTAATTATATATTTAACTATCTGAGAGCTATCTGGGAGAGTTTAGTAAAATAAAGGGGGAGAATATTTTAGCTTAGTTTTGATCATGATGTGCTCAAAAGTGACATGATATATTTTACTACATTTAAACGAGAAGAAATAATGTGATTTGGATATGCAACTAATTTTAATATTAATAAATATGTTGTTATAGACATAAATCATACAATATTAATACATCATATTCTATTAAACAGAATAAGTATCACAAAAAATCAGCACTTGTAGTTAAGCTCAGTTGGAAAACTCACAAATTAGCACACAAATCATTTGTTTAACATGACTAGATAAAAAAAGAAATTTAATGTTTCAATTCAATAAAAATCTTATCAATCTGAAATAAATTACAGAGATTAAAGATAATAAATCATATCTCGAGCTATAGTAAGAAAAAATCATGAAAAAGCATACCCCGAGTTGTTAAAAAATCGCAGCAGCAAACAGATTTCTGCTTCTTCATTCAGCACAAAAACGTTTTACATTATAACTTCCATAGAGTTGAGCTCGGTTGCTTAATAAACTAGTTTCAAAGACTAATAAACATCGTATTTATACAGATATTCTACTTATCTCGCTCCCACGGTTAATGATAACTTCGCCTGCTTTTTGAAACCTTCCACGCTTCGAAACAGAGATGGAACTCCGGTGAAAATCAAAACTGGAGCTGTAAATTTCAGCCAGAATAGCTTAAGCAGCCGTTTCGGTTTCGATTGCAGCTGACTTTACTTCCAGTGCATAAGCTTGAGATGTTGAAATTTCCATAAATCTGTTCGTAGGCTGCTTCGAGTCAACTGCAAAAAAGGGACTTCTCCCGTGCACGGCGCTGGATTCGGGATCCACGGAATGAGCCCTTCTTGGTGGAGATGGTGGCTGAACCTCCACCTCTGGATAAGCTGCCTTGAATCTTGCCCTCAGACCTTCATCTACTAGCCTTACTCCATTTAATTGGTTTCCCAATGAGAGCCACCTGCTCAGGATCATTCATTCCACTATTCAGTTATTTTGAGAAGATATGTAAATATTTATACAATTATTGAGAAATAATTTATGCATCTGAATTAAGATTATATGGTCATAAAAGTTCTTGAAATACATGCCACATATTTTAATGATATTAGAGAGAATATTTATGAGGTCTTAACCCCAGCAGTCTCTCATTCCCACTCAACTTGTCTCCAATCTTAATATTTGCTGCTACTGACCCAAAACAAACCTATTTTCTCCTATTTTCTTACCACTCTTTGAAGCCATATATTAAATTACGGCCTATCACCAATCAACGTCATCAAAATTGTTGCATATTTTGTTTTTATTTTTGTGGAGTCCTAATTATTGGAAATTCTCATCGGTTAGTACTTACGTTGGTTCTCAATATCAGCCAGCTTGATGTTTTCTCCCTAGAATTACTTATTTGTTGATTGCTTGCAACATCCTCTAACACTGAATAAAAAGATGTAGAATAAAGTTGTTTCGAGTGTTTTTAAGTACAACTTTATTTCTTTTTTTTAAAATGAGAAATAAAATCATGTGAAAAAACTCTAAACAAATGAGTATTAAAAAAAAGAAAAACCTTCATTTAAATACATAGCACACGATTCATATGTATTTAAATATATCACATCTAAAATTTCATATTTACATACATAACACTAAAAAACTTTAATATCACATCAAAAATAACAATATCACTTTTAAGCAACGATTTGTTGTGCATGTAAATATGGAAGTTTAGAGATGAGAAGAAAATACATAAAAATTGTATGCTAGGTATGTAAATTTTCCGAAATAAAAATAATCCAAAACAAGGCTTATCAAACTTATGATTAAATAGAGTTGTCATTATGATCATTAAGGTTTCACTAGTATTTAGTAATGACTATTGGGCATTTAATAATCAATTAATTAATCATAGCAATTTTTAACTAACTATATATCATGGTCAATCAGGAATTAATTAGTATTTTAATTAAAATCACAATAATTAGAACTAGATATTTATTACTTCTGGCTTAATTAAAATATTAATGAAATTTTAGCTTAACAAATGAAATATATAAAATAATTAACTAAAAAACTGATTCATACTGAATTACTACTCAAACCATGATTATGATGTTAACTTAAATAAGGTTAACAATGATTTAATTTTAGATGGATTAATTATGTATTAAATATGATTATTTGTGTTAACTTTATAATATTAATAATATTTTATAGTTTTGATAGTCAAAATTGGTTTTTCTTTTCTGCAAACGGAAAAATTTTAAACCATCAAAAATATATTTTTTCTTGAGAATAAAAGCAAAAATAAAACAAATCCAAACATCGCTTAAGTACACGTTTAGTGTGCAATTCAAAAAGAACTTGATCGTTTTGGCCCCAAAATTTCACCAAGATGATTCAATTCAATTTAGGAATAAAAAGCTACTTGCTTATGCAAAAGCAATTTCCCGGAATAATATGATGAATGCGCTAAGGAATAACATAATAACAAAGCATCATACAAATACATAAAAATTTATGTAGTTCCAGCAGAATCTATACAGGGGAGAAAAGAACCACCATCAAGAAGCCAATCAGATGTATAAATAAGTAAGGAATAAAAAAATGCTCTATCCCAAACCGAAGTCAAATCAAAGAGAAGTCCCAAATCTTCTGTGCAAAACAAATAGAAAATTTTTCTAGAACTTAGTAAAAAAGGAAAGAATCACACAGAGAAAATAAGCATAAAGTTCTGGGTCATACTATAAGATGTTTTCCTAAATGATCCCCGAATAACGCATCATACAAGTTCCTCTATTTTCTTGAATCTTGATAGTAGCCAACTACAGCCCTCAAGCACACTCCTCTTTTCCTTAATAATAATAAGACTTCAAGGTAAAATTGAAAGCAAAAGCTAGTTCAAATTTTAACTTGGAGGTAGTTCAAGATAAAAGAAAAAAAACCTTGAACATGTACATTCAATAATATAATTCAAATAAATTTGTATTAGTCTCAAAAACAATTTCACCATTTCTTTTTTCCCTTATCATAAAGAGTTATATTATTGAGGTGTCCAAATAATTCTCCCCTTTGATTCTATCATCTGGCACTATGTGACATGAGGGCTACAGAGATAGGGCCACAATAGATATAGGTCCTCAAAGGGAGGGGGGTTGTCGCTCCTCCCTTTCCCTTCTCTCCCCTTCCCCTCTTTCCTTCTTAGCAGCTTCCTAATATGAGTTTTTTCCAAATCAAATTTTCTGAATATTTTTGTTCCTCTTTCCTAAATCTGAATTTCCATTATAATCTCTTTCCTAAACTGAATTTCCAAATTAGAATTTTTTAATATTTTATTCCTCTTTCCTACATGTAAAATCCTGATTTGATTCTTCTTTCTTACTTTAAATATTGTATAATATAAAGTCTTAGCCTCATTATAAATAGAGGATGATGTGCTTAGAGTTAAAGAACTTGTTTTTTATATCTAAAATCAGATTTTTAGCCTTGGTACTTTCCCCTTCAAGAGTTGTATCCAATGTCAAGGTAGTGCTCTGGTTGTCCCTCATTCGAGACGGCGTTCATCTCCAAGGGTCCGGGTGGTGCTCCGACTGTAGCTTAACCCCGACGAGATATTTATCTATTCTTCCACCATTCCTACTGTTGTCCATCCGCTTCCCAGCCCTACAACAGGCCATCACATCTCTTCCCCAACAACCGTCGGTTGTTGTCCTCCCTCCAACCTGCTTCCAGCCATCTCCCAGCAAGGCCGCAACTCCCCATACTCCATCCCAACACTCATCCGCCCTTCCTGAACAACCCAATATTGTAGCCCACTTGCCCTGAATTTCTCCCAATACTCAACCAACCCACTTCCAGCAGTCTACCATGTGTTGTCAACGCTTCCCTGCTAGTTGTCCACCCTCCAAAAGTACTGATGAGCCAACCCCGCTGCAGCCCCACGTTCCCAGCTTGCTAGCCCACCTTCCAACCTATCTCTTAGCCGCCCAACAAACGTTCCCGCCACCTTAAGTTGCTACCTCTTCCAACCCCTCTCCCGCACCACACTTGTTCTCCCCAAGCCTTCGAATCCACTTGGCCAGCCTCCACTACACTTGGGATACACTTTCGAGGTGTTGTCTTGCGTCTTTATATTTGTTTGTCTTTTAGTTCATGTTTTGAAGAGTCATTGAAACTCATTTCAAATTTAATAATAATATTTGTGTTTCTGTTATAGTTTGGAATTTCTCCTTCAGTATCATTTGGTATCAAAGCTAGTCAAACCCTACTCTTATACTAGGGTTTCCTAGCGTCCATCAAAACCACAAAAATTTTCTTCCTACAACCCAATACACTTTCCATTGCCACATCTTCCCAAGCCTAAATTCCCCAAGCTGATTTTAAAATCAGCAACTTTGACCCAATTATTTTTACCCTCTCATCTCCACTAAAAATTTTTCCTCCCTATTCCTAAAACCTAACTATGCCACCAAGGAGATCTATGTCCAAGCTTACACGAGACGAGATACGAAGAGAGCTCTGTCGTCTTTAGTGGAGGCTTATGGATATTGATGAGACAATCCGGTGGAAGGTTACCATAGAGCATGATCTGGAAGGTCAAAGGGAACAACGAAAAAAATATTAAGATGAAGCGGGAAACACAACGCTAGTTCCTACCAACTTGCTACCGCCAAAAGTTGCAGACTCTGCTTCTGAAGAGCAGAAGACCATATCACCAAACAACCCCTCTTGCTACTATCCAGTGAAACTGATCCGCAAGTTTGTCACAACCTTACAAGTGCCACGGATTTGGACATGTTGAAACAGAATGCACAACCAAGAGAGATATCTATTTCAGTGAGCAGAGTGTTGTTGAAAAATTGAGCAATGACACGGTTGGTCCGGGAGAAGATGAAGACATCTGAGAGGAGGCTCCAATAGTAGCCAATAAGGAAGAGACGCCACCAATTCCAATTGACCCTGAGATATAGAATTCGACTGAGGTAACGGTCACTTCTTTAGAAGGTGGTGATTATTGAGGTAATGGGCAATCCAACTGTGTATGAGATTATGGTGCCTCAAGAAAGTATTTTGCAAACTTTGAGAGGAACATCAATCGGATTGACTTGGGAAGCCCAAAAAGAGCATGAGTTTTAAGGAGTCGACCACAAATATAGGGCCACAATAGATCGGAGCATTGCAGATTTTTAAGATGTATAGACCCTTTTCTGAGTTACCCTTACGGAGGGAGGTCTATCATGTTTGAAGAGGATTAGTTTTGTGCCATGCTTGGAATATTATGAGTATTTCAGATGTTAGATCAGATCAGTAGGGTGCCCAGCAACAAATGTTCAAATAGGAGGAATGAAGCTCAACTTTAAATTTGCCCTGGAAGCTTTGAGAGGGATAAAAATTCTTCAATAGGATCTAAGTCATATCATTAAATATGTCTCTCCTAAGTGGTCACTAGTGAAAGTGGCACAGCTTGCCACAGATTTCATCATAGAATTGAGTTCTCCTCACATACTTGTTACGCGACCACCGCACGCTAGGTATGAGAAGTGGAAGGAGTAGATTTCAAATGTATGGGCTCGAGAGTTGCATTGCGAGAACCAATCTCTATATACAGCAACCACTCAGGATGTACCAAAAAAGGACAAATAATATTCTAACAGAATGTGTTGTGGAATGACAACACCGACATGAGCGACCCGCCAAGAAACTTGACATCGTGCCATGAGAACTAGAAGCTTTGACCTATGACGTCGAAGCCCCAACCGCATGAGATTGACACAGGAGCTATGGAAGACCGACTGATTCTCAAAGGGTGGGGGGGTTGTCGCTCCTCCCTTTCCCTTCTCTCCCCTTCCCTTTTTTTTCTTAGCACCTTCCTAATATATGCCTTTCCAAATCTGAATTTCTGAATATTTTTGTTCCTCTTTCCTAAATCTGAATTTCTATTATAATCCCTTTCATAAACTGAATTTCAAATCAATATTTTTTTCCTTTCCTAAATCTGAAATCAAGATTTGATTCTTCTTTATTATTTTAAGTATTGTCTTAAATAAAGTTCTAGCCTCATTATAAATAGAGGATGATGTGCTTAAAGTTACGAGTCTTATTTTTTATATCTAAAATCAAGTTTTAGCCTTAGTATTTTTCCTTTGGAGGACTACATCCGACATCGAGATAGTGCTCTGGCTGTCCCTCGTCCAAGGCAGTGATCTTCTCCACGGATCCGGGTGGTGCTCCGACTGTAGCTCGACCTCTATGGAATATTTATTTATCCTTCCACCCTTCTTGTTGTTGTCCACTCGCGTTCCAGTCCTACAGTAGGCCACCGCACTTCTTCCCCAACAACCGCCTACTGTTATCCTCCCTTCAACCTGCTGCCACAACTCGGCCGCAGCTCCCCGTACTCCATTCAAACACTCAGCCGCCCTTCCTAAACAATCCAATCTTGTTGTCCACCTGCCTAGAATTTCTCCCAACACTTAGCCGTCTCACTTCCAACATTGTAACTTGATGTCCAGGCCTTTCCCATCGTTGCGAACGCTTCCCTACTCGATGCACACCCTCCAAAAGTGTTGAAGAGCCTTCCCATTATCTCCCCACCTTCCCAACTTGCTACCCCACCTTCCAACCTACCTCCCAGCCGCCCAACAAACCTTCCCACCACCTTAACCTGGAGCCTCCCTCCTCCAGTTCACCTTCCAGCCCCTGTCGGCCCCTCCCCCACATTCACACTTGCTGTCCTCAAGCCTCTGAATCCACTGAGCCAACCTCCACCGCCCTTGGGACACACTTTTGAGGTGTGGCTTGAGTTTTTGTGTTTGCATATTGTTTATTTCATGTTTTGAAGTAACTGTAACCAATTTCAAATACAATAATAACTGTGGGTTGGGCTTTCTTCTCCGGTATCACTATGTCATAAAGCTACCCTATGAATCCTCTCCAAACCAAAGTCCTCTAAGCTCTTAAATCCCTAAAGAGCTAAGCAAAATGCAATGCAATCGCACAATGCAATTGATGTTAGATCTTAACATAAAATTGATGTCTTTCAAGCACATCAGTTATAAAACAAAATAAATATACTAATATTTTCCACACAAGCCTAACCAAAAACACACAACTTATGGAAAAATTTTCCTTCTATAGATACATACTATATGAGCAATGTAAGTAAAAAGTTCAATAATGATTGTATATTACAATTGTCGTCACCGGAAGAAAATCACCCAAATCTGCATCTGAACACTTTGCAATAATCTTATCACATCTGCTGACTTATCATCCTTGTGCTTATCATTGAAAAATTTAGTTCACTAAAGCCTGAAAATCGCTTTTCACCATATCATTAAGGAAGATTCACATACATACTAATTCCTAGGTATTTACAGATGAAACACCAAAACTTGAATTTTTAAATTTATGGCATCTTACCTATACATGAAAAGATGTATTTCACTTTTTAAAAGTTAAAATAGTGGAATTGTTTATGTGATATGAAGGATTTTGATAGTATAAATGTAAAAAGTAAAGTTAAAGTTATAGATATGAAAATATTAGAAATTGAGAGGTATGCATCCCATGCAACTTATTTCTATGAAGATAAGAGGTGATCTATCCCTAACCAACAAACAGTCGACCTAATTTTCATCTCCTATGCCCTTAAATATAGAGATAAAATACTTAAAATAGAATATTTAGACATACATAACTTCTTAACATTCTCTAGGCTACTTTTATCCCTACCAAAAAACATGATGTTAAAAACATGCTTACGATAAATAGCACAAGAGTAATAAAACATCCTTATCATAAATCATCACATCTATATTTCTTAAGCTCTAATAACCAATGTTGTGCGAAGCCCAATTTCTTTACCCTGTATTATTTTTTCTAAAAGTTTTAAAAGTGGGATCATCTGCCATGATCTTGTTTGCTTGATGAAAGACTTCCATTAAACAGAGAATTCATATGGAAACTATGATCCGGATTTCTAATTACTGCCCTCTTTTTAGTCAAGTGTCTAGAATAATTTAATTGGTGAATCACTTTATATATAGAAAATAAAAATTATGTTTTTGATGAAATTTATTTGAGAGGCAATTGATCATGTACAAAAACATTAACTTAAGCTACACCCCTTAATGATTGATTGTTTCCCCCAATATCTCATTTAACAAATTAGTCTAATTTCATGCATCATACATCTTATATCACCTTCATCTCTCTATCATAATGCGGTCCGCTTCTTACATTCATCATCCTTATTTGCCACAAATGTGCATGAAGAATTGCACTTTATCGCCACTGTTGTAAGATGAAGTCATTCAAGCTAGCTCGAATTGTTCCCTAAGGAGGCACATTACGATCCCTAATTCCACATATCATGTACGTCGGATGCGGAAGGAAAGGATAGATCGGAGCTTCAGGTCTTTGTACGTCGTGATTCCGCGTCGAATCACATTGTTTGGAGACATGTCGCAAAGGAGACTACTATATGATGAAATCCCATTGATACCTTCCCAGTACTCAAATCGCGACTAAGGCACGTCGCGATCCCTAATTTGCTTCCTTGTGCCACCACAATCCAGACTTGTTTCCCAAATAGGTTGAATCAGAGTTCAATTGCACGTTATCGCCACTGTGGTCGGATCAAGTCATTCAAGCTAGCTCGAATCGTGCCCTAAGGAGGCACACTACGATCCCTAATTCCACATATCTTGTATGTCGCATGCGAAAGGAAAAGATAGATCGAAGCTTCAGGTCTTTGTACATCGTGATCCCGAGTCGAATCACATCATTTAGAGGCATGTCGCGATCGCTTCCTCGCCTTCCCAATATAGCTCCAATCGCGCCTGTACCGCCCAAAAGATGCAATTGTATCGCTAGGGCGCAACGCAAGCAGGAGAGAGGTGGGAGTTTCAGGCCTATGTAAACAGCGATCCCGCATTGGCTTCCCGTAAAGTCGCGGCTGTAGCGCGATGTTCCATCAAGAAGGAGATTGCGATCCTGTTGTTGCTTCCCCTCTAGCTCCAATCACAATTTAGGTCACGCAAACACAGGGAGGCCCGACGTTTCCCCGTTCTATCACAATCTGTATCGCGACATTGCAAGCAAAGGAGAAGTAATCCCAATGGTTGCTTCACGAAATAGCGACTATTTACCAATCTATGCAATGATCCCTTTGTTGATGCACAATGAAGGCTTGGATCGACCAAGGTCCCTTCCAAGAATTTTTTTTTTCTGAGAATCAATGCTCTGATAGCAATTTGATAAGATCCTATGTAGAAATCGAGATGAATTTTCACAAAAATTAGGGCAAAGCAAATATTATTTTTTAATAAACCAAACAACTCTATACAAATACAAATATACACCCCTGCAACACGAGAGGTAGGCGATCACTCCCAATTCCTACAATTAGATAGGAAGGAAAGTTCTCCCATAACCTAAATATAAGACTCACAACAACAATCTCATGCATACCCCTAAACTTAAACATAATAAGCCTATTTATATCCAACAATAATAATAATAAAAGACTAAATTGCCCTTAAGCATGCAAAAGGCAACATTGCCCTCAAGCTAGGCACCGACGTAACACACCTCCATATCTCTTTTCTCACTTCTTATTTCCGTATATCTCTCTTGCTATACCATTATTTTTTTGTCATTTCTCTCTCTTGTTGCTGGATTGGATTGGATTGGGTTTGTGTAAGGGAAGAGAAACAAAAGAAAAGAAGAGGAAAAGTGACCCTGGAAGAAGAACATTTTACATGAACCACAGGCCATCTAATGCAAATTTGAAAATGTGAGAATTCTTGCCAACTGCGATGACTGCAGTCTTAGGTTCATAAAATGCTGGGTGAATGATGAATTCACTTGATAAATTATGAACTTAGTTTCAGGAGTTACAGATATCAAACACTCAAATTAAGCATCTGTTTGGGACAGTTTTCTCACTGCACTGCCTTTCAAACCACACCACATCTGTATTTGGCTGCTAATATCTTGGCACTTTTAGAAATTCTTGTGGTGAGAATCTGTTTTTTTTTTTATAACCATATCTGTTAGAGTGTAGTAACTGTAAAAAAAACAACTGTATGACTATTCAAAAAAGAAAATATTTATAATACCCAAAGGAGCTTTCAAAAAAAAGTTAATTTTCCCACAGTATCTTCACAACCATTTGTACAAAAAGTTGCAGCCGTACTAAACAAAATGTAGATCTTTAAGGTGCTAGTAATTTTTTATTTAAAAATTATTAATCAAGTTTCCATCTTCAAGGAAACTCTTGCTCAAGTAACCAAATCATATAATCAAGGACCGAATCCTCACACAAATCACCAAGTTTAAGCAATGGAAATGCATGTTTTATCGAGTTACATTGGCTCAAACAAGCATTCTTGATCTAGGAAATTTAAAGCATAAACGGTAGTTACAAAAATGTGCAACTTGGAGTTTCACTTCTCTTACAATTTTTCGTTTCTAATGAGAGCATAAATAACTAACAATTAAGCATAACACCAAGAACTAGTTCTTGAGCTGGTTACTAACCCGGCATTTCATTAACTCTATATATAAATACATAAACGGAAGCAACTTCAAACAATAATAACAATTAAGGAAAAAAAGAATGATTTTGAAATAAGTAACTCATTCAGGTCAGACTAACAAGTGCAACAATGAAGTCCACCTAAAGTATGAAAAATATTAGTCAATTAATTTAGGTCAGACTTGAAAGTGCAGCAACACAATCCAACATAAAGTATTCGACATCATGTCTAACGCAAATAACAATAGAACATAGAAAATAGATAAATAAAACACAAAAGATCGTTTGAGTACCCTGCATGAGTGTTGTGCATTCGAGCAAATAGTTCTAGTTTCCTTGTCCTTGGGCTTATTCTCTCTAGCATCGGGTACATCTGCATGTACAAGAAAAACCACAGGCAAGTCCAGTCAACTTGTTATCAATTAAGGGGATAAAACAAAATTTGCATTTACAGATTCGAATGATATGTCCATTGGTCTGGAGAGCAAATAAAAAGCTACATAAAGGCAAAATAAACAAGGATGAATAGCACTTGGTGATTCATTGTGCTGTTATTGACTCTAACAAAAGATATTGCAGATTCTATGATTATTGATGTCCAGTACACTCTCTAGTGAGTAAAATATTGTTCTGAAAAAAGAAAAAAAACAGATTCAATGGACACGAGATGAATATTCAGTGAAGGAAATTATAGGATACATGATTAAGCTGGAACATTTTTGTTGATATGAGCAATCTAGTTGAAGTTCAGAACAGATGTGTCACATGTACTGCCCTTTATGGTGACTGATGCCCGCCATCCCTTTGAAGTAAGCGAGAGCTAATCAGTATGTGCTCATTACAGTACAAAGCAAGCATACCCATATATCACTATGCTAATGAGGAAATAGAGTGCTGACAGAAAATTAATATAAAATGAAATTTGAAAAAAATACATATTCCTGCACAAATAATGGCGAATACAGTTTGAGCATTAAGTAATTTTCCCAAAAAAGTTGGCTTGGATTTCTTCCTGCTAGGGGGACCAAGAAAAAATGTTACCCATCTCTGATTACATGTATGAATTCTCATTATTCACTCATTCTTGTTGAGCCATATTTGAAGTGTTAGATATGAATTATGCAAAACTTTTTGCATAACTTTTTCATGTTACTTGTGGTCCACACATATTCCTTCCTAAACTTTCAACATAGATTTATTTTACTCATTTTTTTTATGCTTCATCTACTCTCGGTTGTACATGCCCAAACAAAAAAATTATTTTTCACTATCTTATCATTATGCTTCATCTACTCTCAATTGTACATGCCCAAACAAAAAAATTATTTTTCAATCTTATCATGATAGGTTCTTTGGCAGACCCAAAAGTACAATTATTCCCTAATTTTAATACATTTGCATCTTAACACTGTTTTTTTACAACACTCAACTTCTTAAGTGAAGGATTGAACCAAAAAAGGGATCCATCCAAAGTATGAACTATGGCTGTTGACCATGCAGAAAAAAAAAATAAAAGTTCAGGCTTTTAGATAATACAAACATGAAGAATGAAAACGATAAAATAATATTTAGACTTGAAAATTAGCCAAAAATAGTGGATGAGATAGTGGCCTAGTGATTAGGCACCCAACAACGAAAAAAAGAACTCTCAAGTGGCCTGATATATTCAATGTGCTTTTTACAAATTTGTTTTCTTCAAGAAGCTCACCAATTTCTATGGAAATGATTACCTACTTATTGAAAATATTGCAAAGTTACGGTATCAACATGATTGAGTAGAATTGTAACAGAAATAGTATTATTGATTAGGGACCAGCCATATAAATACAAACATTCTTCATGATATAAAAAGGTCCAAAACATACAAGTACAAGATGGAAGGGATCATAGAGAAGAAGAAATAATCTTGAAATGGCACAATGCCTGAGATTTCCATTTATGAGATTATAAAAGGGAATTTGAAAATGCCAACATGAGCACTGACTATATGTCTTGTTCCCTAAACAAATCTTAGAGGAAGCCAGGAAATTCAACAAACATGCAATTTTCCAATGAAATAAGTTATAAATGCTGAAATACTGGAGATAAAAATCAAAAACATTAAAAATTTATTTTATAGAAAAGGATATTAACCTTCCACAAAAACAAAGTTAATAGTATGAAAGTTAATGTTCACAAACATGATTAAAATATGAAGGAAAAACATAAGGAAAACAAATTGTAACAAATCTAATAGTATTCATCTATCTCTCAACAAAAAACCATTGTTTAAAATTGTGTTAACCTAGGGTGCAGCACAGCACAATTCAGGCCCAAAATGCATTCAGGCACACGCATTAGGGCTTTTGTTGAGGTATACGCTTCACATTTGGTGAGGCACACCTCGCCTCAGATATACTGAGGTATGCATCTCTTAGGATTAGGTTGTTATTATATTTTAATTAAACTTTACAACCCCCCACTCATACAAGCTGATCTCCCCTCTCCCCTCTCCCCTCTCCCCGATCTCCTCTGCCACATATGTCGAACATCCCTAGTGCCACCACTTTGCTTCTGCCACCACCTCTTGTTGAGCATGAACTTTCCTCTCATACACAATATTTCCCCTTGCTCATATGAAGGCCTAACCTAGCTACATTCTTTTGCAACCTCCTGCGACACCCACCACTGCCCCTTGCTGGGCACAATTGCCCTTTTCATGCATAGATCAGTTGACCCTAGCCATGTCGTCGCCACCTACTACTTTTGCCACCACCCCCAACGCCTGATAATTTTGTCACCGACATTGACATCGCTGCTACTAGTCGTTGCCACTGCTACTACTATCACCAACACGAACTGCTTCTGCCACTAATGACGAGGATCCCCTACTATGTGGAGTTATGTCATCAAATGATAAATAATTTATGAACCGTGAGAATGAGGTTACAACATCTAAGTTAAAACAAGAAGATTCGAACATGATTACTTTGATGAAGATAGAAACAAAATTAGTACATCTAAAACAAGGTAGCAAGAGATAGAAATAGAAAGAATCCATAGAAATTTAAATATTTGAACTTGCATAATCTTTATATAAAATTCCTAATTTCTTATTGATTATTATTGATTAAAGAAGAAAGAATAAGAGAACCTGGAGTCAACTGAAGAATAGATAAGGAAAAAAATCATTCATTATGATGACTCCGATAAAGACCCCATAAGTATAAAGGTGCAGAGGACTTTAGATAATTTATTATATTGTTATTTAAATTCCATTTGGGTATGATTTTCGTTGATGTTATCCTTCATGTAGATAAGACTAGAGAGAGTTCAAGAAAAATTTGATTTATAGAGGTCAACTTTAGAATCTAAAGGCATTCGTTTAAGTAGATCTAAAACTGAATACGTGAAATGTAATTTTAGTAGCAATAGATCTAGTGTCAGGATTGTAAAAATTGGTAATCAAGTCATTAAAAGAAGTGAATGTTTTAGATATCATGGGTCTATAGTTAAAAGTGATGGGGATATAGATGGATATGTTATTAGTAGAATTTAAGTTGGATAGTTGAAGTGGAGAGATGCAATGGGCCTATTGTGTGATAGAAGAAGTACCACTTAGACTTAAAGAAAAATTTCATAAAATGGTGGTGAGACCGGTAATACTTTATGACACAGCATATTGGCATTTAAAAGAGAAAATAAAGTTAAGTGTTGCTGAGATGAAAATGCTCAGGTGGATGTGTGACTTTACACGTAAGAGAGAAAATGTTGAACGAACATATCAATGAAAGGCTTGGAGAAGCTCCAGTAGCAGACAAGATTAGAATGTAGCCTTAGATGGTTTAGTCACAACGTCGACCATATGATAAAATGTTAGGAGAGTAGATGCTTTAGATTTGACTTATGTTAATAAAGGTAGAAGTAGACCTAATAAGACCTGAGCATGTTGTATAAAAATTATCTCAATTTATTAGAATTAAATGAAAATATGATACTCAATAGGACAAAATAGAGAAAAAGGATTCATCTAGCCGACCCCGCTTAGTGGGATAAAGGCTTGTTGTTGTTGTCAATGTTATGCTAGACAATAAAAATAAAAAAATTATTAATCTAAGCATATTTGATGTCTTTAATATATTATGTTAGTTATCTTATGTTATTTTAATAAGTTGATATTTGCATTACACTTCTACTTTGCATAATCTGTTATATGATAGTTTATGGATTATGCACTTTGTTATTTGATCTATGTATAATTTATCACTTCTTATCATGTTAAGATATTAATGTAATATATTTATTGGTTATGATGCTAGTATATTAATTCCTACTTTCATTTTAACTTTACAGAATTTCCTTCTTGTGATGCTTACACCTCAAAATGATATGAACCTTATGAATCCCCTCACGAATGAAAGTTGACTCAATACCTAATTTCACGATTTTAAAACCCGTCAATAACAACAAAAAAGGAATAAAAGAAGGATGAAGAGAAAGGAAGAAAATAAGAAAAAAGATCAAAAGTAAGATCTATCTCTCTAAAAGGAGATAACTTCTCCAAAAATTTCAAGTATTTCACTTGATCAAGACTTTGAATCTCATAAGGAGAAGAATTTGCACATAGAAAGCAAGTGTTTATTAGAAAGATTTTGCTGCTCATATACGCCTATTTATAAACCTCATGGGATAATAAATAAGACAAAAAGAAAGGTACAACCACCAGAATAGTAGTAAACGAACGAAAAATGTTACATAAAAGTCGAGAAAAACATATCGAGGAGAAATGAAATATGTTATTCCCAAGAGAACAACCTTAAAAAGAAAGAAGTCAACAAAACGGAAAAGGAAGAGCAACAATGACAAAAAGCTGGCAAGAGTCAATAATCATAGGAACCGAGATAGAGAAAGAAAATAGATAAGTTGTAACAAGAAAGCCTTTTCTAGAAGTGACTGCTACAAAAACGAAAATATAGGAGCCGAGGAACTAAAAGAGAGTCAGGGGAACTTAAATAGCAGCAAAAAATAATAATAGAGGTGCTCAAGCACAGAACTTCTACGAGGAACTGCTTCAGCCTCATAACTCCAGACATAAGAAAAACATAGTTCATTCATTGGAATAGGATAGGTACAAAAAATAGGAGAAGAAATAAGATCAAAAATATAAACCAGTGATTTTAAATCAGTAAAAATCACTTCATCACTTATGGTCGAAAAAGATGATATTTGATCACAAATAATAAAATAAGAAGAGACATCAAATGATTTAAATCCATGAATACATTTAAGAGTCAAGTAGATAGCTTTAAACAAATATAACTAAATTTATTTATGGAATAAAGCAAAGCGTGAAAGAACCCACTATCATTACATCAAAAGGAAAAAAGCACCTTAGAATCACTACATAGAGATTCAATCACTGTGTTCCAGTTCTGCAGTTCATGAATTAGAAGAAAATAAAATTTCAATGGAGAATTATTGCAGAACTTTAAGTATTAACAAGTTTTTTGGAGAACAATAATTGTTTACCACCAGTACTGGCCTTGCCCAACCATTCAACATTATCATTATGAATCTTTTTGAAACACGACAAAAGATTGCACCAGGCTGCATATCTAACAAATGCTAAAATGTTTCATATCATGTCAATTGTTGGTTCGTAAGTTGAAATCCCCAAGAATAATAGAAAATTGGAAAGCTTTTGATAGGAAGGAGGACAATTACAAAATTTATCGAAATTGCATGACATAGAAGATGAAGAAATTAACTGCATGCAAATGTAATCAATTGTTTTAAGTTTGAAATTTGTGAAAGAGACGACCACCAATAATTATATGAGATTCAAACAGAAACATTCAATTAAGTTTGGCTTAACACACACAAACTAGAGAATATGAATATAAGAGTCAAAGGTATGGATTTACCTCCCAAACAAGCTAACAAAGACAAACTATTCACTATCTTACCAGTGAAGTTTTTGTAATGCAAACAAAAACAGTAAAATATGACATAACACTTTGCAGCAGATGAAAATGCTCAGGCTATCCTTTAGAGGGATCCGGATCAACTACCAACCTCATCAGGCTTTCTGCTTGTTTCACGAACTTCAGCTACAATGACATCTGTATCAATGTTGCGATTTACCTCAGGATTCCCCTTTATTCCAACAAGACAATGTTCTTTACTATGATTGAGCCAATGTCCAGTTCGCCCAGTTCTAATGATCCGTTGTAGTTGATTCGTTTTCACCCAAATTATCTCTTCTACCCGCTTGTATCCCCAAAGTTCCAAACTGGCAAAGGATGCAGCATACATTAGTAAATATTAAATTGCCTGAATTCAAGTGATCTAACAGAAATGCAGAATATAAATGCACATATATTGCTATCAGCACATGATTAAAAATAAGATCCAAACTGAAGCAGTAAATTAGGTGGCTTGATATTAATAAACATATATTACTATCAGCAAAATTTTTATTTTGCAAGCGAAATAATTAATAACCCTTAATAAGTAAAAATGTCATTATTATCATAACAATTTATGCTGTTATTTCTCGAAAACTCCTTGCAATTTGGTGATTTTAAAAAGGATAACAGTTTAAAAGTTTGCAAACAAAGACAATGAGAACAAATCATAGCCTTGCGTCAGCATTCAAGGACCTTAAAATTGCAATACCTGAAAAATAATAATAATAATAATAAAATAATTTTACTGGATGTGTCGGTTCATTGTAACCGACGACCTAGTTTGTTACACTATTATTAGATGAACGAAATTCATGTCGTTTGAAACCTAGAAGCGAGACAGGGAAAGTGAGAGAGAGGAAGAGAGGAGCAACACTTGTGTCTTGCGCAGGAGGAATGATGCCAAAATAGTGTGGCTTGATGAAATGAAATGAAACTTGTGTGCTATGTAGCACCGACACTTCTAAGAATTTGTCTTACCCGTGCCAGACACGTACTGCAAACCGACACATGTCTGACGCCCTGACATTTCTCCGACATTACAAAATATATGTTTGAATTTTTAAATTTTAATAGATAAGTTGGATTATAAGTTGGATGAATTCTTTTGAAACATAATATATCTAATTTTAGAAATTAATTTTCGTAAACATGAAGTTCTATAATACAAATTAAATTTATGAAGTTAAATTTATTCCCTCATAATTTGTATTGTGATTTTTTAATAAAGAATAATAGAAAAAATATCTATTTTATACTAATAATTAATTAAATATAAAAATGTGCCCATGACGCATTGTGTCTTATTTTTTTCAATTAAGTCGTGTACCCATATCATGTCTTGTCGTGTCTGTGTCTCTGTGTATGTGATTCATAGCTCGTGTGTGTGGGAATAAGAAGACTAAGCAAACAGCACACACGGAAGAAGATGCCAACAATCGAGACTAAGACGCTTGTCAATGTGCAAAGTTAGCTTTCATGATAAAGTACTTGCATATCAATTTAATATACAGTAAAATCGTAATTATTGACTAAATTGCTATTAAATTTATTCTATTATTTAGCTATTTATTTCAAGAAAAGCTCCATTACATTAAGATAACTGATATGAGAAAGTGTGTTGAGAGAAGATGAGTAAATAAAAATACATATCTTGAAACCATTTTGTCTTGTGCTAAATTCCTTTTATTGGACTTATTATTGCAACTCTATTATTTTTACCATTTGATTTGGATTATGTATTAGATAATTTGTGATTTAGTAGCTCTTTAGTATTTGTGTGATTAAGTGATTGTTAAGCTGACACTACCAGCCGATCATCCATTTTCAACTCAAAAAAAATTTCAAACTCCAGGGCCATGTCGTGTAACAATATTACTAATGTTTGTCATAAAACCTAGATAATATTACTAGACTATATCAAAAACATAATATAAGACATGAAAAGGTTTCATAAGAACCTTAGTATTGTTATTTGGACTTATAGACACCCTAGCAGAAAGTCGTATCTAATTGTCATATTTACAAAAAAGAAAAATATTGTCCTTCTTTGTAACTTTTCGAACTATTGACTTCACAATATTTTCTTAATTTATACATAAGCACCGGCAACGAAGCTCTGATGTATTGTTAAATATGCAAGAGTTCTCGAATTATGGACGAATGCAAGCAAATAAGTTAGTCCATGAAACTAATAAATTTGTTAGAAATCTAAAATATAGATACACTTATAATTAAATTAATCAAATTAGTAGATATGATAGTTAATAAGAAATGGTGTTGATGTAATTATAGATAAGAGTTTGAAAAATATTGTTATAAAAGTTAATAGAAATGAAGATAAATTTATAGTTCTAAACATTGATCTTGATACTAAAACTCTTAATGTTATAAGTACTTATGTACCCCAAATAGGTCTGGAAATATGTTTAATAAAAAAATTTTGGAATCACCTAGAATAATTACTACAAAGGGTACCTATTGAAGAAAAAAATTTTATTGGAGGAGATTTAAATGATCATGGTAGAATTGTAAAAGATTTTAGAAGCATTCATGGTTATGACTTTAGAGAGATTAATGACTGGATTTTACTTTAGCTTATAATTTTTTTATTGCTAATATTTTTTTTAGAAAAAGAAATGAACATATTATCACATATAAGAATAGATCTAATAAAACAAAAATTGATTATCATCTTATGAGAAAAATATAGCTTCGAGCTTATAAAAATTATACGGTTATTCTATGTGAAAATTTAAATATGCAACATCGATTATCAGTTTTGGATTTTAAGATGTGAAAAGTTGAAAGATGAAAAATACAACAAAATATTATTAAAAAATTTGAAAAAAGTATTTAAAATGCACGAATAAAATTATTTTTATAGTAAACTTCAAAATCTTAATATTTGGGATGTTCTTCAAGAAGTTAATAAAATATGGGATAAAATAAGGAGTAATATTAAGCAAGTAACAAAAAATGTGCTCCAAAAATTAAAAAAAATTATGAATGGTGGAATAATAAGGTCCAAGATAACAAAATAAAATATTTTGTATGAAAATTAGAAAAAAAAATATAAGGTGGCCTATAGGGAATCTAAAATAATAATTTGTGGTGATAATAAATTTATTTTAGTGATATTTATAATAAATTAGATACTAATTATGGAATAAATTTATGTATAAACAAGTCAAGCAAACAAAAAAAATTAAAGATTTAGTTCAAGTAATACGGATTAAGGATGAAAATCAATCATTATTTTTCTTAAATAAGGATATTTAACAGAGGTGAATGAAATATTTTGATAAATTTTTCAATGAAGATTGTAATGACATAATGGAATTTAGTGATCTTAATACCATAAATAATAATAATTTTTTTATTTTTGTGCATGGGGCTGGGTTCAAAAACCGGCTGAACCGGTCCAAGCCTATCGGACCGATCAACCTCCATAAAGGGGGAGAAACCTACCGTCTAAACCTTCCTTATATTCCACTTTCCTTTTTTGATGTTTCCCTCCTATATCTCTTCCTTTTTCATTATTCTCCCCTCTAATTCTTGCTTATTTTATGCTTTTCTCTCTAAGTTCTTCCCTAATCTTATTATTATATATTTCTACTTGCTAATCAATATTATATAGAAGACTTGGTTTGTCTAGCTTAGGAAGTTCATTTATTTAGTATTCAGAGTCGGTCTTCGGCATTTTTTCCCTCGAAGAGTTGTATCCAACGACCAGAAGGTGTTCCGGCTGTAACTCGTCCGAGATAATGATTATCTCCACATTCCCTCCGTTGTCCCGCTCCTACCGGCCCCTACTTGTGACTCCAACAGGTCTTAACCACCCTTCCCGAGACTCCAGGTTACGGCTTTGGCCTCCCTGCAACTCCAGCAAATCACAGGCTCCATCCCTCCAACTCCACATTGTTGCACTCCCCTGTTTGTGTCTCCATAAGATCGCAAATACCTTTCTCGTGACTCCAAGTGGTCGCCGCGGTCTGTCTACGACTCCAGAAGGTCGCAGATTCCACTCCGCCTCCAAATTGCCCCAACTCCCTTGTCTAAGATTCTAGGAGGTCGCAGACCACCTTCTAGTCATCGTATGCCCCTCAGGAGGTCTCGTTTGGCTCCTCTCAACAGTCGTTTGTCTCACCAGTCACCTTCCAGCAATCCGTCTGGCTCCTCCCAGCTACCGGCCACATCCAGCCCTTTCAGGTCCCTCCTGGCATCCCGCCGACACCCTTACAGCTGTTAACTTGTCGTCCCAGGCCTTCCCCATTGCTGCCATTACTATCTAGCACCTTCCAGCCACCAATCCGCCTATCGCCAGTCACCTACAACCCTCCATACTTTATGTTATCGTAATTCTGTGCATTCCCCTTGTTGCCATCAACTCTCCTTTGCTGCCACCACCCTTGTCAGCCATTTCGATCCACCCAACCAACCTCCACCGCCCTTAGGAGACACTTTTGAGGTGTTTGTTGGTGTAGTTTAACGTTTTGGTGATGTTATCTTCACTTTGTGTGCATTGTAACCCTATTTCCCTATTAATAAAAGTTGATTTAATGGTTTGGGTTTTTTTTTCCCAGCATCAGGATGTTCTTACAGGACATCTACAGGATGTACCTTGGTGTATGCTTTCGCTAATGATATTTTTTTTGTGGATAAGGCTAGAGAGAGAGAGTTCAGGCAATAATCGAATTATTGAGCTCAATTTTAGAGTTTAAATGCTCTCATTTGAGTGGATCCAAAACTTAATACATGGAATATAATTTTAGTCGTAGATCTAGTGGTAGGGTTGTAACTATGGGTGATCAAGTCATTAAAAGGAGTGAATGTTTTTGATATCTCGAGTCTATTGTTCAAAGTGATGGTGATATAAATGGGGATGTTATTAGTATAGAATTCAAGTTAGATGGTTGAAGTAGAGGAATGCATCAAATATATTGTGTGAAAGAAAAGTACCGCTTGGACTTGGAAAAATTTATAAGATGACGGTGATCCTAGCAATGCTTTATGACGCATAATGTTAGCCTGTAAAAGAGAATCGTGAAATTAAATTAAGTGTTGTTGAGATAAGAATGCTAAAAAGTGGATGAGAGGCTTTACACTTGGAGACAAATTGTGAAATGAATATATACGTGCAAGGGTTGGAGTATCTCTAGTGGCAGACAAGATTATAGTCACCTTAGATGGTTTGGTTGTTTTAAACATTGACTATAAGATGATCCAAATAGGTGAGTAGATGTTTAAGATTTGATTTATGTTAAGAAAAGTAAAGGCAGGCCTAAAAAAACTTGGGTTATTAGAATAAATGAAAATATGAAACTTAAGAAGACAATGGAGAAAAAGAATTCATGTAGTCGACTCAACAAAGTGGGACAAAGACTTGTTGTAGTTGTACATTATTAATTTTCAATCAATAAATTTATTAAACTTCAAGTGACCAAGCGTTGACTTGAATAAGCTAAAAGTTGAATAACAACACCTTCACAAAATTGCCTAATCCCATCAATTTCCAGCAACTGTTCTCAATTCCTCGATACATAATGTTTCCAAATTCCTGTTTGATTTGGCCGCCACACAAACGACACATCAATCGCAGTGAAAAGGTTATACTAGTCCTCTCAAGCATATGATAAAGAAAACAAGCAGAAGGATATTCACTGGATATAATAGCAGAAGAATTTTAGTTTGTCAATTCCCAAGTTTTAATAGGTAAGGGTGACTCCATACCATTCCCTCCCAAGCTCCATTGCACGTCCTGTGACCCAAAGGAAGATAAGACCATCTGTCTGCAAAGCAGGGACATTTAAGTTCCTCATTTCATCATCAGCCATGGTTCCATATGGCAATTCCATGTGAATATCCCATGGTGGGTCAGCCATGATCACACCAAACTGCCCTAAAATGTCCATTCTAAAGTTGCGTATGTCACAGTTAATCCACTGAGGTTCACCAAGCTCAACTTCTGAACAGTATTCAGCTCGCTGAGTCTTCATCGGTCTTGGGGGTGGTAGATTAGAATTTCCCATCATCATTGGAGGTATATCTGGGGTTTGGTCAAGTTCATAATGAACATATTTACAGGTCTACACCAAACAAACAAAATACAAGTTTCAACTAAGTAAATTGGGACTGAATAACATAAATATGAGCTAAAGCCAAACAAAAATATGAAAAATATAATGTGAACACGCATTGCATACACGCAATTAAGCAAACCTTGGTATGACGACATGTGTCAAGAAAAGAGCAATCCCCTAAATTTGTATCAGTATGTGGAGCTATAATGCGCCGGAAATGGACCTGCAAAATGGCAATAAATAAATCATAATTTTTTTACAGAAAATATAAATAAATAGACGGCAAATAGATCTCCAAATGTTCCCATGTACTTGACTACTTAGATACAATGCAAACATTTAAAGTTACCGTGAATTTGTTCAATAAAACATCCAACAACTATTAAAGACTACATTGGCCTGATATCTTAATAGTAACCCAATAAAAATACTGTTACACAAGACACAACTTTAAAACACAATACATTGCAGCGAAATCCCATGACAAAAGCAGCAACTACAAGTCAAACTTTGGTTTATATGTTGAATGCGATTTTTAAGCAATAAGCCCTATCCTCCCACGCTCCTCCCTCCAACTCCAATCCACCATGCATGATAAACCACTCTGAAGACAAAAAATTGATCAAACCTAAAGAATTTGATCATGAATCAATGAAACAACAAATCATTGCATATAGATTCCATGGGGGCATGGGCATATTATTTTAGAAATGATTCTAATATATAGTTAGCAACTATGTTTATTTATAATCCTTCATGATATATTGATATTGCATTCCACTCCCTATTACAATTAAGGGGCCCTCCTGCCAAACAGAAAATCACTTTTCCACTAAAGGCATTCTAGCCAAGTTAGCTTAACCCTACCTGCCCCACCTCCACCTCACAACAGCAAGAAATTGCGTTGCCTCAAAGAAAATGTCACAGATTTAGAAAAGAGTCTTTTAAGTTACAAACCAACTAACAATCTCATTGACACAGAAATGACAATGTTTCTGACATAAGGAAATTTGTTTGGGGTGCTTTTCGCTATCGTAAGTTGATAAGTAAATTTATGTCTTAATATCACTGGATCAGATATCTCATTTCCACTATTTGTAAATCAATACATGCAAACCCACAAATGGAAACAATTTGAAGCTACTCTAGATATCCATAGGTACATCAAGACGTCAATAAGGAAAAAACTGACTTACAGTAAGAATGAAAAACTCAGTGTAAAAACTTTTTTATAATATTGATTGAATTGGATGTGTTGATAATAGAAAATTCATAGTATGGCATATTTGTGCAAGGTAATAAAAATTAAAAATGACATATTGGCCAAATCAATAGCTGAGGCAAAATAGAAATATTATGCACTCTAAATGCGTAATGAATTGATAAGGCCCTCCCAAGAAGATAGGCATTTTAAAACTGTGTAACCTATCATCGTATACTGTAACCATGTATTGCCATACACATTGCCAATATTCACATGTTCCATGGAGGAACCAAATACATCTATGTTTATTTGTACTTCATGACATTTTGTGCAGTTCTTCTACTGAATAATACATAAAAAATATAATTTTCTTCTGCATATGCCACATCTATAATTACATGTAGCGCGAATATTAGTCATTGATTTCACTAATTATCCTTTAAAGTAAAGAGCCAAAGACATTGATTAATAGTTTTTATTTTTACTTCATTTTATGATGAATAAAATAACAACTTTTTTGTCTCAAATTAGGCTAATATGAAAATGAATGAGCCAATTGACGAGTCAATCATGGCTTGGATCTGGATTATAAAGCTAGCATAAAACATATTGAAATATTGTGAATGCAAGTGTGGGCGTGCATAAGCAAGTAATCAGAACTTAAAGCAAAGATTAAAAAAATTATGGTATTCAGGCTTGAATTAAGCTCATATTACCCAATCATATATGGTTTAAATTAAAATTTGATTAATCTACAATGCCAACATAACTTTTAACACAGTCTTCAAACTAAACATGAAGGAAGAATTTGGACTTTTTGCTAGACTAGTAATGTTCTATCTTTGTCTTTAGAATCCCGTTGACATAGTCATCATAGCCTGTAGTAGTGTTTAAAAGATCACCCTAAGAATACACCCTTAGTCCAACAATACCAAAGTTTAGTAGGTTCCCTCTACTAATTATAGTTCAGCCCACCTGAGGTGTTTATATGGATCTAAATAGCCCATTTGGGTAGTCTTAGGAGAAATCAACCGAAGCTAGGTTATGGACACCTTTGATCAGTCAGGAACATCGCTCATTATCTCTTGGGCACAGGGTGCCAAATTGGCATCACTTGCACATGCCAGGAAAGACTCATCTAGTCCCCTTCAAATGACATGTCCTTGGCATATTAGTGTCTTCTCTATCTGACAAATGTCGACTCAGTTGACTGTGGCATCCTCTTTGTTTGTCACCTGACGCCCTTTCTGCCTAGTCAACACCTTTCTTAGGTAAGCCAACATTTTCTTAGCACCAACTTAAGACCTTCGTCAAGGAAAACCTCCTCGTTATCTTTTCGTCCATCTGACATCCTCACCTTAGTGCACAATGTCATTTTTGTGGAGGTTACTTTACATTTCAAGCCTCCTCAGTATATATCTTAACTACTTCAAATACATATTATTTTGACTGCAATCTACCTCCTTACTTCAGTAATATCAATTTTTTTTCCTTCTCAACACAATTTTTTTGACAACCGATGACGACTAGTTTAGAATTCTCCCCACAAAGGCTTTGATTTTAAACCTTTAATCTTCCTTCCTATCACTCAATAGAAGTTGATGCTTCCATGGTTTTGACCAAAATCCAACAACCCCTTTAATACTTCAATTTTTCTTTTAGAACTTTGATGATGTGTGGGCACCATGCCTGATCCGGGGGAGCCCAAGCCAGCACGGGCACGGCAGGTGTTGCCCGTGATCATTTCCACGAGACCCATTCTTTCACCTGGACCGAACCGGTTCAAATTTTCTCCCTTCTGAGGAGTCGATTGATCCTCGTGGGCCACTCCTAGTTATCTTCTTATTATATATTTGTATTCTTGATGTTTTAGGTTTAGTTTTTGGCTCACAGTTATGTTAGGACAGCCACAAGCGTTTGGTGTTACCTATATACGGTTGTATCCAAAGAGGAGAAGGTGCTTCGGCTGTAAATTGTACAAGGGTCAAGTGGTGCTCCGACTATAGCTCGTTCCCGAGCAAATATTTATCCTCAACCTTTCCTCCTCGCACCCCTTGCTTCACTGTCACGCCACTTTCTTTACTGCAACCTCCCAAGATAGTCGTCGTTATTGTTATTTGTTGCGGTTCTCCTCTCTCCAGCCACCTCCCTTCTACAATCCCAACAGTCCTCCTTCTGAGTCAGTTGCCAGTCATTGCTCTTGCTATTTCTGACATCTCACAACATTCCATCCACCCCATCCCCGCTGCCATTGCCATTGCCATTCCAGCCTACCATCCCCACTGTCCTCGCTATTCCAGCTCTCCACCGTCGCTGCCCAAGCACGCAAAGTTGTTCCCTTTGTTGTTTTCCTACTGTCAAGCCAACCTAAACGGCAAATTGTTGTTGTTTGGATTGTTGTCCCTTAGTGCTCTGCTGTTCCAGCAGCCCAAAATTGCTTCCGCCCCTCTTTCACAGTCTGAGAACCCCTTCCCTTCCTTGCCTCCATCTCTTCAAGCCCTATAACCATCACCAGCATCACCCGAGATCCGCCCTAACATGAGTTTGTGTGTCGTGTTGTTGTATTTTTCCTTTCAAGGGTGTTTAACTGTAACTACATATTTAGTTCCAGTAATAATATTTGATTTCCTATTGTTCTTTGGATTAACTCCGGTATTATTTGGTATCAGAGCTAGCCTAACCTTAGTTATATCATAGAATTTCTAGCATCTACTAATACCCAACCCCATCTCCCCCTAAAAATTTTCTATCTCACCCTACATCACCCTTACACGCCTCCATTCACCTGCCCACATCCAAATCCTAGCCATGTCGCCATGGAGATAATCATAGGAAGTATGATCGAGGGGAAAGGACACGATGTCATTTATGAGAAATTCACAAAGATGTGTCTAGAGGATTTTTAGGGAGGATATGCAGTGAAAAACCCACCAACTACAATGGAGGCTTGCCACCTTTGAGAAAATGCAATCCAGATGGGTCACCCGTAGCCACAACCGTGACTTGATAGATCGAAGAAATGGAGTGAATCTATTCCACCATGCAGATTTAGGGATGAAGAACATCTACCTCGATGATGTGACCTGAAATATCTGAGAAGTTAAAATTTTGATAGAAAAGTGGATTTGTCATATTTCAACGGCCACATGGATCTAAATAAATTTATTGAGTGGCCCTAAATCTTGGAATGATCTTTGAGTGTCAGAACGTCCCATCAGATTTGCGGGCAAAATTTAAAATACATACGCCAGTGTGAAGGAAAATACAAGATAACTAATTAGTCCCAGATGAATGAGAGATGCCACCTGTTCACTACAAACCGGATGTTCAGATCTCAGTTTTGAAACTGGAGAGACCACATCATTGGGCGACCACTACCTCTTACAGGTATGGTTTAACCCCAGGATCTTACAGTCAGAGCATACCCAGGGGAACATCTAAGCTGACCCCGCCTGAGGAGAAACTGATTCAAAATAGAAAATATGCGAGGCGAACAAGCATTCCAAAATTTATCTCAGGTACAAAGTATTTCAAGTGTCACAGATTTGAGCATATTGAAGCAGATTGTACAACCAGGGAATTACATTTTTCACTGGGTTGCGAGCAGTTGAAAAAATGGACAATGATGCAGTAGACACAGAAGAGAGCGAAGACATGAAAGTGAAGTACTAGCTGCCAGCCAACGAGGAACAGAGACATCGATTCCAGTTGAACTCAGAAGAGATTCTAGTTGAACCCAGGAGAGATTCCAGTTGATTTGACAATAACTGTTCTAGAAGGTAGTAAATCCGAGATAATAGGCGTTCATCCAAAATATGAGATTATGGTGCCTTGAGATACCATTTTGCAGACGTTGACAGGAGCATCGACAAGATTGGCCTTGGATATCTAAAATGGCCGTGAGTTTGTGGGACTGATATCAAACACAGGGAAACTCCAAATAAAAAATATTCAGAATTTTGAAACATATAGTCTACTTCCTGAGTTGCCCCTGCTAAGGGAGGTCTTATATGTTTGAGATGACTCTTTTGTGTCACTTCTGCAAGCCCATAGGAAATCATTTGGGTATTAAAATTGGTTCAGCAGTGTACTCCAGACAGAGGATCAGATTGAATGGATGAACCGCAACATTGGAGAACACCTCAAGATCTTTGTATCAAAGTTTTGAGAAAAATAGGTTGAATACTGAATAGGCTCGATGTCTTTTCCCTTTGCTTTCATTCCATTAAATAATAATCTTATCATCTATTTTAGGTACAAAATAAAGTGCATAATCTATTTTAGGTAACCTAATAATACATATTCATAATCTAAATATTCAGTTAAAAGGGAAATAAATCATAATAAAGAAAATGAAAATAATTTAAATAAGGAAGTTCCTAATTATAAAAAACTCCTAATTTAGCTGTATGATTTCCGTTCTTCCAGATTAACATCCCTCCTCAAATTGATGTTGACTGATTATGAAGCATCAATTTGCCAACAAGAAACTGATAACACTGTCGGGACCAAAAATACTCAGGTCGTGAGTGTCGAAGCATAAAATGCCGAAACTGAGAATGTCGAAACCTAAGAGTGTCGAAGCCTGAGAGTCTCGAAGCCAAAAGTTCCGAAGCCGAGACTGCCGAAGTCTGAGAGTGTCGAAGCCGAAAGTGTCGAAGTCGAAAATGAAGAAGCCTCAGAGACAAATTCTGACCCATAATATGATTTGAGCAAAGAAAAGCAAGAAATCCTTTATCATTATCGTTAAGAAATTCGAATCATAGCCACAAGAAGAGTCCGCTTCCAGTTACACGATCCAAATGCTACCAATCATAGCCCACAAATAGAATCCAGTTACACGATCCAGATGTTATCGATCATAGCCTACAAGTAAGATATGTGTCCTGATCTAAATGCTACCGATCATAACCCACAAATAGGATTCAATTACACGACCCAGATGCTATCGATCATAGCCTAAAAGTAGGATCGTCGTCCTGATCCAAATGTTATCGATCATAGCCCACAAATAGAATTTAGTTACACGATTCAAATGCTATCGATCATAGCCTACAAATAGGAATTGCGTCCTGATCCAAATGCTACCGATCATAGTCCACAAATAGAATTTGAGTCTTGTTATACGATCCAAATGCTAATGATTCTTCTTGCGACGATGAGGACGATCTGTTCCCTGATCTTCAAGCCAAAAGTGCTGAAGTCGAGATGTTCAAACCGTAGGTCTAGGAAGGAGTGTCGAAGCCTTCAATCCTTGGGTGCGACGAAGAAGCAGAAGTCGAAGCGAAAGAAACAATCGAAGACGTCGCAGAAGCAGCGATGGCTAGCGAAAAAGATCCGAAGCGGACGAAGCGAACGAAGTGGCCGAGATCGTGCATTGCGGATGAGACTTGAATCGCATACGAGATAATGAATGAGCAGGATCGCAAATCGCAGTTGGAATCAAACGCGTGAAATGGAACCAGACACGGGAGATGGAAGAAGGCGAATCAAAGGCGAACGAAGCAGCCGTAGAGAACGAAAATCCTTAGATGGGCGAATTAAGGCAAGGAAATAGTTTCTCCCTTCCCGGTTTCTCCCTTCCCACAAGAAAGCCAGCAGGAAGGGAGCTTCAACGGTCATCCAATAACTAACGGTGGTTAGGGCAAAATTTTGGCTATGATACCATGTCAAAGTTTTGAGAAAAATAGGTTAAATACTGAATAGGCTTTCATTCCATTAAATAATAAACTTACAATCTATTTTAGGTACAAAATAAAGTGCATAATCTATTTTAGGTAACCTAATAATACATATTCATAATCTAAATATTCAGCTAAAAAGGAAATAAATCAGAATAAAGACAATGAAAATAATTTAAATAAGAAAGCTCCTAATTATAGAAAACTCATAATTTAGTTGTATGATTTTCGTTCTTCCAGATTGACACTTTGCGGGAAAGAACACTTTACAGTAGGATCCAGGTTCTTCCCGAGAAGAAGAAGATGCATCTCCTGAGTGGTTACGCGCCAATGTGGTCCAGCCTGCCAAAGAATTCATTCCAAAGTTGGCCCCTCCTGATAGCCTTGTTTATCAGATACATACAGTCGAGTATGAGTGGAAGAAGCAAATTACAAATCTAAGGACTCGATAGTTACTTTACGAAAATCAATGTCGATGTGCAGCTTCAGCACAGATTGTGCCAAAAGAGGATGGATATTTATTTATCTGGATGTGTTGTGGAATTTCAGCACTTACATGATTGATTTATCAAGAGATTGTCATTTTTTATACCTTCAACGAGGCCAACCTAACTATTATGAGGAGACAACAGATGACGTCGAGGCTCCCCCAATCCTAGAAGACTGATACAGGAGCGTCATGCCCAACGCGGGGCGCACAGGACTGTGTGGGCAAGGAAAGTGATGTAGACGATCATTTCCGGGCAACCTATTCCTTAGCCTGGATGGAACCGATCGAAGTTTTCTCCCTCCCCAGGAGTCGATCGGTCCTTGTGTGTCACTTCTAGTTATCTTCTTATTATATATTTGTATTACTGATGTTCTAGATTTTAATTTTTGGCTCAGAGTTCTAGAAGAACAGCCACTAGCGTCCGGTGTCCCCTTCTAGAGTTTTATCTAAAGACGAGAAGTTACTCCGGCGGAAACTCGTACGAGGTGGCGAGCTTCTTCAAAGGGTCAACTACTGCTTCGACTGTAGCACGTTCCTGAAGGATTATTTATCCTCGACCATTCCTTCCCCGTACACCTCACTTCGTTGTCATGCCTCTGCCTTAGTTGCAGCTGCCCAGGACAGTCGCGATTGTTGTTCTCGTCTTTCACAGTTCTCTTTTCGGCCACCTCCCCTTCACAGCCTCGGTTGTCCTCCTTCTGAATCAACCACCAACCTCCCTCTTGTTGTTTCCAACAGCTCGCAGTTTTCCAGCCGGCCCATACCCGCTGTTATCGTCGTTCCAGCCCTCCATCCCCAATGCCCTCGCTATCTCGGCCCTCCATCGTCGTTGTCACAATAAGCAACGCCTTCCCTTTGTTGTTTTTCTGCTGTCCATCCGCATTGTTGTTTTTTAGATTGTCATCCCTTACTACCCTACTGTTTCAACCGCCCAAAATCGTTGTTGCCCCTTTTCACAGCCTGGAATCCCCTTCCCTACCTTGCCACCATCACTCCAAGTTCCCCTAACCATCACCACCATCATCCGAGATCTACCCTAATGCAAGTTTGTGTGTCGTGTTTGTTGTATTTTCCCTTTCAAGTGTGATTGATTGTAACTGCATATTCACTTCCAGTCATAATATTTGATTTTTTATTGTTGTTTTCGTTAACTCCAGTATCATTTGATCTTTCCTGTTTTCAATAGATATTAACCAAAAGCCAACAACTGCTTCCCTACAACTTCAACAGAGTGAGACAAAAGATCTTCCTACACTGTAGCATTAAAGAAGGGAAATATCTTTCAATAAAGTTGTCTTACGAGATATATAAGTGTTATCTTCATTGTTACAGGGATTGAGCCAAACAACTTCCCTGCAACCCTTCCTACCACCTCCCTCTTGGGGTCTCGCATAATCCAAACATGACCTGAATGGCATCCATCTCTCTCCTTCAACTCAAGATTTTACTTTCCAGATCTCTTCACTTGGCCAGAGGTTTGACTTAAAATGAATTTACTACTGTTAACTCAGTTCAAGCCAAGGACCAAACAAGGTTTCACCAACCTAGTTATTTGATGTTCTTCTTTGCTGGCTTATAAATAAATAAATCTTATTAAAATAACACACATAAACCTGCATGCAAATTATGAATCTATAACTAATCACATTACTATGTTATTTTATTATTATCTTTCTTCCTATGTTCTAGTCATTTAATAGTGAATGTCCGACCCAATGTTTGTGAATTTTACAAGATATCTGAATTAACAACCAAGCGAAATTGTCGACAAAACAACAAGTTTTAAGGATTATAAAAGTAATTAACAAATGAAAGCTGCAGCATGCATGGAAATGTTATATGCGAGAATTCTAAAATCACTCTGACCAGTCAGCATACGCAATTCAGCATTATACCTTCGCACAAGCCATAAAGGAGCCTGACTGACGACGGCAATCTTCTTTGGTCAAGTGAGTACAATATTCCTTCAATTGTGAACCACCCTTCGTCTTAAACTGAAAGGACAGGAAAAGAAATAAAAATAAAAATAAAAAAGAAAGTTTTCATATCAGAAATATTAAATGATAAAATTTAGGTTAATATAAATTAATCTCTCCTAGAGACATAAAAGAAGGCAAATGAAGCAAATATCTTGACTGGTTAGATGAAAGTGCGAGTGCATTCTCAAAATTCTGCCACTTTTCGTATGGAAATTGAACGAGTAGAAACCACTTCTAACTAGGTTCCTCCTCTTCTCGGGTGTGCTAATACGGGTATTGCCCAAAAAATCAGTATCAAATTCTTCAATTATACAAATAGAGTTCCCGCTCTTATAAATAATCCAAACACTTACCCTGCTATCGTGTTTATCATGATAATGTCAAATGAAATGAAACAAATAAAAATTTAGCAGAGGAAAAGACAACTTGAGTATTCAATGAGAATAAATTTTCTTAATTAAACGAATACTGGAAATTGATTTTCTCGTTTTAATCAGCTGCCTTCTTTCTTAAATCATAAAAATATGTTCTCTGAATATCACAATGCTTAAAGAATATCCAATAATACAACTATTACTCATTTAGATGACGTAATCTAAGTGAGTTATCTTAATCATAAGCTTTTGTGTCCAAAATGAAGATATCAAATCCCCCACCCCAATCCCCTCCACACCCATACAAAAAATTCAAAAAATGAATAAAATAAACTTGAAGTCAGAGATCTTCTATTTAGTCCTTAGTCCAAACTCGTAATACATCTAGTGCTAGCAACGGTGAAAAAAATAAAAATACCTCTAGGGACAAGCTTTCGGGAAAAAAAATGAAGGGGATTAGTTACAAATCACTTGGACCGAGTAAAAAGTGGTACATGACCTGGGTCTCTTACAGTCTTCTTTTCACGTCCATAGCTTCTGTATGACTGACATATAACCACCGCAAATAATAGTGTATATTATTAACCAGCGCCACTTGTCAGAAATTCCTGAATATTTTGTCAATATATAGAAACTTTAATGGCTTAAATTGATCCCATCATCCTAGCGATTGATGCTCAGATTTATAACTGGTTTGATTTGCAAATCACTTAATGTAGCATGATCTGTAGAATAGTGGATTTATTTGAAGATTCGAGAGAAAATGTGAATAAGGGGAAAGAGGATAAAAGATAAACAACAACCATTTGTTTAATGTTTGTCTTTCTAACTAACCCAAAAGATTTCAGTTTTTGACAGTTATATGTTAGCATTAAGTCTCTTGTTATCAAATCATATAATCTTTGTGTAGCATTGGGTATGAATTCAATAAATACCCTTGAATGTATTGTTAGAAAAGATAATATTATGAATACAACTTCAACAAATGTCCCTCTATCTTCTTTAACCCCAATTCTCTCCTTATTTCATGCCCGTCATCCATTCTTGAAAAAAACCCCAGCAGTACTTCAGCACAATTTCATCACTTAACTATTTCTACCGTTAGATATCTCTCAGCATCCAGCTGTTGCTGTTGGCTTTTCCTACAACATCTAGTGTTATCGTGGATCCATAAGTTAATCGTTACAGGCTTTATGAAAGAAAATGTTCAAGACCACAAACGTACAGAAGAATATAATCTGCTGCCTAGAACATGTACAGCTGAAAAATCTGCTGCCCGAAACTTGTGCAGTGGGAAGAAGGGAAGAAGGATAAAACAATTAAAGTAAGAAAGACAGGCATTAAGGTGGTGATTCAAGAATCTGACTCCTGGCCAAAAGAAAAGGAAAATTGGAGTAGAGAAACCTTGATTTCAACAAAGGTTTCGATTAAAAATCGTTGAAAAGTATTATTCCATCATCCCTTTTTGTTCCTAAAATTAGTATCAAGACCCATATAAAAAAAAATTGTGGATGGTGCTGACAAGATTGAAGATCAAGAAGTTCACAATGCAAAATGACTTTAATCTTTGGAGATTGATAAGGAATGAGGATTTGGATGCGGTTTTGCGACAAGAAGCCTTGCAAAAGATGGAAGCAAATAAGCAATCAAATCTTGCTGACAATAATAATAAGAGAATTCTCTTAAGCCTTGAAGATAAAGTTGATTCCTTGTACAAGATCCGTAGCAAATCAATTATACCTCAAAAAGAGGGTATGCACCATGCAAATTGATAAATCCAAATCACTAAAGAAACATTCAGATGATTTTAAAATAGTCATAATGAATCTTAAGAGCATTGAAGCTAAAATGAAATATGAGGATCTTCTCATAATCCGACATAAATTTAGTTCTACATTCAAAAGTGAAAACGGAAGTTTAAGGGTATGCAACGGCTCATTTGTTGTCATAAAAGAAACCTTGAACCTTGCATTGTATCCCTTGATTGGAGAAATAAGCCTTGGGGGATCAACCAATGTAACTATTAGATCAACAAATTCAAGACAGTTATTGCATAGGATACTTGACCACATAATTAAAAAAGGACTTTAGGAACTTAGGAAGCAATGCTTGCCATGTGGTGATAAGATTGAAAATCTTGACCCATGTGAACACCGTTTTATAAGAAAGGCAAAGAGACTCAGTTTTACAACTGACATGCACTTCATAGATGTAGCCCTTGACTGCACCCATTCAAATCTTTGAAGTCCATCTCAGGTAAGATTGCATGGTGATGCACAATAGCAACTTTCATTAATTGATGATAATTTAAGAAAGAAATAGGCATATTTTTTAAAATATAATAATGAAGCATTCCAAATATTCATGGAATGGAAATAACTTGTTAAAACTCAAGCCTGGGAGAGGACCGACAATGGACTTGAATAATGTGTTCATGAATACACAAAATTTTTCAAAAATCTAAGGATATTAAGGTTTCACATCATTGGACAATTCCCTTAAAAAATAATATAACCATTCAGTAATACAAGGTTGCCAAGAAGCTATTGGGCCTAAGCAATTAGCACTGTATTTAATCAATAGATGTCCCTCCTCAACCATTAGTTTCAAGACCGCAATAAGGTTGGAATAGAAGACCAAATGATTACTTGTTCTTGGAAGTAGAGCTTAAGCTTTTATCAAGGAACATAAACTTGAGCCACATGCAGTGAAATGTATTTTTATTGGCTACCTTAAAGGAGCTAAGAGGTACAAGTTTGGTTCTTAGAGCTTAGATTACAAAATGCATGATTAATAAGGATGTTGGATTTAATGAACAGCAAACAGCTGAAATTATTGCGTCAAATAAAGTGCAAATAAACTGATGCAATATATACAATTGATCATGAGGTGGAGCAACCAAACAATGAAAGTTTATAATGCCAATAATCAAAAAATGGTTTAAGCATAATCTAAGGAATTTAGATAACTAAATATTGAAGAAGGGCAAAAAGCTTATGGCTTCACAAGAAACATGCCGTAGTGTTTTTCAAAGAACTACAAGAATAAAGACCATCTAAGGTTAAAATAAATGCTTTTATTACAAATTTGACGAATGAGCTAAGCTAAAATCCTACAAAGTATCATGGAGAGCGATTGAAGTAGCCGATGGCAACAAGCTATATAAGAAGAAAAGTTATCATTAAGGAAAAACAACCTTTGGGAATTGCTGAACATACCAAAACACCTGAAGGAAATTATGTGCAAGTGATTGTTCATAAATAAGGAAGATTTTATGGATGAAGATGAGCAAAAATCCTAAAAAAGGTCATGGAGAGAAATGACAAAAGTTAATGGCAACAGACTATGAAAAAAATGTTATCATGAAAACAAAACAATACTTGAGAATTAGTGGACATATCAAAATACCAAAACCTAATAAGTTGCAACAGATTTTTCAAAACAAAAAACGAAGCTTCTATAGAATTAATTTGAAGAAGTCAGATTCAAAGCAATACAAGTTGTGAGGGGTTTTTTCAGAAGAAGGTGTTGATTATAATGAAGTAATCTCTCTAATTACGAGACACAAATCAATCAAGATCTTGCTTGCTATAGTTATTCAATTCAACATGGAGCTTAAGCAAATAGCTGTGAAGTTGACATTTTTTTTTCATAGAGAACAAGAAGAAATAGCATACATGAAGCAATGTAATGGTCCCAATGAAGGTGGAGCCAAAAATCAGTTATATATTCTTAAGAATATCCTTGTATGGGCTTAAGAAATCATCAAGAATGTGGTACATGAAGTTTGATGATTACATGATGAAAATTGATTTTAAAATAAGAGGTTATGATTAATGTGTTTATAGCAAGAATATGATGTTTGTGTTTATTCCAAGAATCAAGGAGTTTTAAAAATGTCTTATCTCTTTCTGTATGTTTTTGACAAGTTTATTGCTAGTGAAAGCATGAAGGAAATATCAAAAAGTACAAGACTGCTCTAAACCAGTTTTAAAATAAATGATTTGGCCCATAAATAGAAGACCCTTGGAATAGATATAAAGAGAAATAAATTTGCCAAGGAACTGATTAAATCCCTCACCTCTTAAAACGGGGCTTAGGAGGTTTGACATAGAAAATTCAGAACTTATTTAAGCAACTTTGGCTTAGCATATGAATCTAAGCAAGGATCAATCACCATCAAATAATGATGAAAAGATGTACTGTTGTCGATCTTACTAAATACAGTTTGGAGCATTATATATGTGATGGCTTGCAGCTGATCTTATTTGGCACGCAGTCAAAAAGGTTAGCAAGTATAGGAATGACCAAACTATTAATCATTAAGAGGTAGTGCAACGGGTTTTCCATGGAAGACATAAATTAAGCTTGAGATACATGTATTCAGCTGAATATAAAGAGACATGTAGACTTTGATTTTGTAGCAAATATGGATGCTAGGAAGTCATTGATTGGCTTTGCGTTTAAAATCTTTGAAAATAAGGTAAGCTGAAAAACATTTTTGAAATCAGTGATGGTATCTACTCTACAAAATCAACATACATGATCAAGTTCAAAACTATGAAGAAAACCCTTTGAATAAAGGGATGAATGTGTGACTTTTTAACTCGATGCTTTATATAAAGAATATATTTATCAATACATCAAAGTTGTACAAAATCATGTTAATCATGAGAAAAAAAAAAGGATGTGGATGTGAAATTCTATTTCACCAAGCTTAATGTGATCAAACAAATGGTGATGAGATTAGAATTTACAAAAATATAATTCTACAAGCATGCTAAAAAAGATATTACACACAAGAAAATTTCACATTGTTTGGAAATACTGAATTCGACTACAAAATGAGTAAAAGTAAAGGTGAAGAGTGTTAGTATGGTTATATATCAAGTTATTAGTGTTTGGTTTGCCTTTGTGACAAACCAAAAATATTTCAATTTTAACAGCTACAGGTTTGTTATTTAGCTTCTTGTTTCCGCATAATATAGTTTTTGTGGCCTAGGGTTACCCCAGGATGTGATGTTAGTAAAGACAATATTTTGAGTACAATTCCAATAGTTTTCTCTTTGTTTTCCTTCCCTCTATTTCTCATCTTCTGTTATTGCCTATGATAAGTTGTGGAGAAAAGCAATGCAATTCTTTAGCTTGATTACATGCCTACCATTTCTACTGCCGGATATCTCCATGTATCAAACTGTTGTCGCAAGCATCTCCAACGACAATTGTTGTTTTCATGGATCTTTAAGCGTTCTATAGCTGGTCTGATCCCCAACAATGTCCAAAACCATGGAGAGGCTGAAGAATTTGTTGTCTGGATCCTGTAAATCAAAAAAAATTGCTGCTCGAAACTTATAAAATGCGAGGAATCGACTAAGGGAGAAGGATTGAAGGTGAATATGATTCAAAAACCAAGAGTTTTGGAAAGAATAAGTCCAGTTGAAGGGAAGAAACGCTTAATTCTGCAATGGAATTAATCAAAAATGTCCAAAACCATGGAGAGGCTAAGAATTTATTGTCTGGAACCTGTAAATCAAAAAGATTTGCTGCTCACAACTTATACAATGGGAAGAATCGACTGAGGGGGGAAGATTGATGGTGAAGTATGATTAAAAAACTAGAGTTTTGGAAAGAATAAGTCCAGTTGAAGGGGAGAAGCTCTTAATTCAGTAATGGTATTAATCTAAAAGTGTTGAAAGGTATTATTCATTCACCCCTTCATATTCATACAATTTAATAACAGAGGTTTTAAGTTTCTCAATGCAACTCTCCATGAAAATAATACATTATAATACCAAAATCCAAAAATAAAAAAAAAAGATATCCTAATTAATAAACTAATGGCATAAATAAAAAAGAAAATTACAAATAAAACATTTCAATTTCTAATCAATTAACGTGCCAACAAATCATCATCATCTTTATCATCATGGCATTCAAATCCAATCATATAGTTCATCTGCGAGAATCGTCAAATGTCCTCAAAAGGCTGGATAATCAATCCCCATATTATAAATTCAACATGAAACAAGGGATACTAATTGCCTGCACTTAATGATTCAAAAGCAAGTTAATTTGATGGCTCGTCATACAAGCACTTATCAAAACCTTTAAGCATTTAACTACCTCTCTTGAACATGACTCCCATACAAAAGTTTCAGCCAATAAATCTTTAAAACATTTTCTCCATACAGCATCCTCAATACATACATTTGTTACTTCTTTAAAATATTTTCTCACAAAATTTTAAAGGTTCTAATGCATAATTATTAAAATCACACTTTAATGGAATTAATAGTCCAAGGATTATTACAATCATAGATAAATTGGATGCACACAAAAATTAAACATTTATGCCTAGAAGACAACTTCACGATCCAAAAATACAAACCTTAACCGTTTGATATTAAATATACAGCAATCAGAAACAAACTGAAAATTTGTTACCAAAGGAAGAAATACCAGCCCCCAAACACCTCGACTATCATCTTCCACTCCCATGGCAAATGCAAACAAAATGAAATGGTAATTCTTGTGTAGCAACACCTAGCAACTTCAAAAGGATCATGAAGTTCTAGACAGGTCAAGATAATCATTTTAAAAATAAAGAAACTGGAATTCCATCTTACACATGCTATCAAAACACCTGAAAACGTTTATCATAAGTGCCTGAAATTAACAATTTAAGTACAACCAACAAAAATATAACATCATGTTATATTCCATGAACAGCTTCATTTATTTGTCTATGCATTAAAATGAAAAAGTGGGAATAGCAGTTAGCGGCTATTTGATATGATTTTATCAAGATAATACTGCTATTGAAATAAAATTAAGGGTCTGGTTGGTTCAATGTTATTTAGATAATTTTATTTTCTATATATGGTTTGAAGTTATCTTTTTTTTTTTAAATGAAATATTATTTAGAATAATTGCTACTGATTTTTTCCTTTTTTTAAACATTAAGATTAAGGTAATCTAGATAGTATCCAATTTGGTTGCAATTTATTCAAATTACATCAGTGTAAGAGATAACATCAAACAAAACATCATTGATCATAAATAATATAGCATTGCAACAAAGAAAATATTAAAACAAACAAAAAGATTACTTGGCTTCATGCTAGCATCAAATTTGAGAATCTAGATAGCATTAATAACCAAAATTAAGCAATATAATGGCAATAGAACTGAGCATTATTTAGATTACCTTTATTATGATAATAAAATTTAAGAGGACAAAAAGACAAAAATCACCATTGATTGGACAAGTTAATATTGCATTCTCTAAGAGAAATAACAATGAATAAAAGTCTTTGTATCTATAGCATAAGCTTGTAATCCAAATAGCATTATTACCAACACAAAAATACTATCTATATCACATCAAACAAAACAGTCATTTAGTCACAATACCTAAGGGTTTCATTGGGATCACTTTTTTTTTCATTTTTTACATATTTTAATTTGAAATAAACCGTATTCATTATTTTAAAAATATACTTTTATTTTTATTAATTACTATTGATTTGTGTGATAATGGCAGTGGTTGTAAACAAAGCAAAGACAGGAATTGGAGGTGGCATTAGAGCCAACCAAAAAGGCCAACAGTGGCAGCAGGCAGCGATATCGATACCAAGGGCTGATGATAGTAGGTTATTATGAGTGGCAATGGGCATTAGCAACTGGCACCGGACGGCTATGGGCAACAATAGTGACAGTTATATTGAATGTTTTTAAAAATAAGTTATTTTACTTCTTAAAATAGAAAATATAAATATATAAATATACTAAACAAACATATTTCAAAAAAAAAACAAAGAAAAAAGATGTTCCCAAACAAGCCCTAAATGAATGAGAATTAGCATCTCCAAACCTTTGCAGCAACAGCAGTTTCCTTCGCAGTTGGCCGGTGGATGAGATCCAAAAGCTCCTCTCCAGTTTTGGACTTCTGCATCTCCCTAAAGGTCTTCTTATTTAGCAATGCCTCAATGTCCTTCCTGTCATCCTCCTCTGTTCTAGGCTTGGCTGGTGGGGGATTTGGTCCTACCATTGATGCACCAGGTCCAATTAGTGGACGGTGAAGAGGTGGAACACCGATAACTCTAGGAATTCCCATCAATCCCATCATCCTTGGGCCACCCCTTGGGCCAATAATTGGCCCCTGCGCACCAGCCCCTGTATACATTGGTGGCATGCCAGATAAATGGGGATCAGGGTGACCCATCCATAGATCATGGGGTGGCCTAGGTAACATAGCAGCACCCCGGTCAGCTACAGGCATTAGAGCTGCCTGAATCTGACTACTTGCGTCACCAGAACCAAATTCCACGGGCTGTGTTTGCTGCTGTTGAGAGCTCTCAGGAAGCTCCTTAAGCAGCTTACTCCGGTCAATACCCCAGACCATTAACATTGACTTTCCGTTAACCGTGAAGTCCTCCAGCTGCACTCCGCCGCTATCCTCGGAAATGCGGCGGAGGGCCGTCTCAACCGCAGATATCGCTCCAAAATCGCCGCCAAGCTCAACCATGGCGGCCTTTTCAGCCGAAGTGGCCGAAGACTGGTCGCTCTCCAGCCGACGAAGTAGCGCGGTTGAGTCAATTTCCGCGAAGGGAACTAGCTCAAGCAGGCACACCGCCACCATAGTACGCACGACCGACAGCCGATCTCCAGCGATTCCTACGCCGCTTCCTTCGTCTTGTTCATCATTAAAGCGGTAGCGGGAAGAACGTAGGGGGATGGGAGAGGTCTTCCTGCGGGTACGGGACAGGGCTTTAGAATCTGCGAGAGGTCGGCGACGGCACTCCGAAGATGTTTTTGCGCTAGTATTTGGGTTGGTAGTGCCGTTGCGGTTAGGGTTAGGGTTAGGTTTAGGAATGAGGCGAAGGGAGATGTCGAGGGACGTAGCGAATTCAGGTACGAGGGTTTGGATGGAAGAGAGAAGGTCCTGCTGCACTGCGCGGCGGGCGTCAATGGCGTCCATGAGTTGGAGGCGCATCTCCTTCAGTGCGGCGACCTCGTCGACGTCGACACCAGCGCTGGTCGCATCGATTTGAGATTCCATAGTTTCCTCAGCCCGTGGTGGAGGAGGCCGCGCAAGCCCTGCTATTTATGTTTAAAAAGCCATGTGTATCACATAAAACTATAAAATTGTCTCGCTTATTTTTCCCTCTTGATGGGGAAATGAGAAGATGAGTGGTTTGGGTGGTTACGAAAAAAAATAACGGTAAGGTTTGCTATTTTTATATTGAGAGGGAGGGGGTGAGGGGGTGAGGTAAGCCCGGGCGTGTAGAGAATGGTGAAACCTAGGACTTGATATGAGAAGGCTGAAGAAATTTGGCAAGGAAGTAGAAGTGGAAGGAATTTCAAAATTTGATGGTCATGAGTGATTAGAGCAAAAATATAATCTTGGCTTATTTGGTTTCGAAATTTTAGGAGGACACAATGGTGTGGTTAGTTTTAGTGAGACAAGGACATGGAAGCCAAAGTGTGGGCCTCATCCTATGAGAGAAATTTTTTGTGAATTTTTTATGAAAATTTTAACAAGGTTTTAATTGATAAAATTTAATTTTTTTTTAACTTAATTTGAGTTTGATCTTGATTTAAATTTTATTTGGGTTGTTACCATGCTATTATTATGATTATACTCATTATCGTCCAAAATATTGTAGTCATGATGGAACCCCCAAATAAAGTTTGATTTGGGCATGGAGGAGCTCATTTGAATGGTTTCTATGATATGGACACACTTGCACAGTCTATTTTCTTAAATGGTGCACCGACGAAAAATCTTATGTAGGAGTAATTTCAATGCATGAAAACCAGAAGAGTAAAATTTCAAGTAAAAAAGGTGTTTGATTGCACCAAACATGTTGCCTTTGAAAGATACAAAAGTTAATTTTTGAAATTAAAATATATTTCTCATTTATTTAATCACCAAAATCAATTAAAAGAATCATAAAAAATTAAAATTATAATTCAAAATTTCACTAAAATTGATCTAAATGTTCCTCTAATCCATGTAAACCTCTAACAGTTTTCCTAAAAAATAAATGGTTTACTTTACTTAGTCAAATAAATTATCTTTGAAAATCCCTGTGTTTTATTTAAAATAATTATTATAATTAAATATAAAAATTAGGAAGCATGATTTCTCGTATGATGTTTCAATTAATCTATGAGGAAGACAATAAGAAATTTCCAAGATCATTGGAATTAAATTGAAAAAATTGTGGTACTTGGAACCTTAAGGGTAAAATGATAATTGTAAAGTTGTAAAATCTAATTAAAACTTTAGGATGACCAAGGGTAAATAGGTTAATTTTGATCCTAAATAGTCATTTGAGGTGAACAAAATACAAGGGTAAGAGATAGAAACCAGTTCTCTTCACCACCCATAAAAAGGGTAAGAATGCAATTCTTTGAACCTTAGAGGTTTGGAAGTCAATTTAAATCAAATGATTCTAATGTGAATGGGGATCAAGTTTAGAGTATAATAAATCACTAATTTAGATTCCCCTAATTTGGAAATAATAATTGGATCTCTTTGATAAAGATTGACACTTTGATCAATTCTCCCTTAAATTATAGTTTTGCCCCTAAAAACATCTAAGAGCTTGGTAGTGAGCTAGGTTCGATCTAAGAATTATTTGAAAAGGTTCAGAAAGGAATTGGAATCAATCTTAAATGCTTTTGAAACACTACAAGCTCAAAACCAATCAATGGTAAGGATTTCTAGATCCTTTAACAGTCTTGTTTACCCTTATAGGTCCCTACCTATGATCTTTCAAATACGATATCTAATGAGTGGTTAATTATCCTACTCATAGACTAATTGAAGCATATTCACTAAGCATCTCATCAAGATTTTAACTTCACTTTAGAGGATTTTCTTTAGCAATATAATAAGTCCAAATGAACTCGAAATGATTCAAAAGACATTAAAAGTTGTTTAGGGTTATGCCCCGAACACACTTATAATCTTTTAGATATTTTGAAGGATAATTGAAATTATTATTTTTTGCTCAAGAATATCATCCTCAAAACGTCATAGTTCAACTAAACAACGGTTCTGACTAAACATCTTAAGTGTCCACTCATGACGGTTGTATGCACTTAGGTCGGATCTCACCTGTTAAGTTCTACTTTTCTCTCACTTTCATTATATACACATGCTTTGAAAACTAACATTTTAGTGGAGGTAGCAAGAAAATGACAGATATGCTTTTATAGTTTTATTTACTGCATTTCTGTCATTTTATTATTGTAATTTACTACTACTTTCAAATATTTTGCATGTTTGGTACCTAAATTGCTTCAAAATTAAAACAAAAAATTTTTAAAAGTCAAACACAAACATTTCCAAAAGATAAAAAAAAATCAAACCTTTTTCAAAACAACGAATCAAAACATAAAACACCTCTTTTGAACTTACGGAAATCCCTTGGATGAGATAACCTACGGTTTCTAACAAGATTTCCCAAGTTTAAATGAGTTTAACAACTCATTTAGACTAAGTAAATTCAAAAGAAAATAGGGGTACTTAAATGAGGGAATTGTGGGATCCTAATCGGTGTCGTTTTAATCAACTTTAACCCCCCATAATGCTTGAATAATAACAAAAGAAAAACATTGAAACATACACACAGTAAAACCTTTTGAACCTTAGCCCTATGGATTACTACTTTGATGCGGAGCTTGGAGCTAACCCTGTAAGTAGCACGACGAGGATGTACAAAGAAACAACTCTGGGAGAGCAACCAAATCTACAACAACACATCTTTTCTCAAAATTTAATCACAAGCCTAGGATTTTGAGGTAGCCCGTCTAGTACATCATGGTGATCTTCATTCACTACAACCCACAAACATTTATATTGAACAAAGATAATCATGATGTATTGCAACGACTGAATGGCTCTGTAGTGAGTTTTCTATACTTCTTACATTGCTACATTTCTATTCCTCCAATAGCAAAGTTCATGTTCTCTTTCATCTTGCGTTTTAGTTAATCTTAATTCATACTCTTTGATGTAAGATTTATGGTTTTCTTATTGTTTTTATTATATGGATTTTTTTCCCTTAAAGCCTTTTTGATGCATGAATTTTTTATATTGATGTGTTAACCTTCTTTCTATAGTTGGATGGCTGATTACACTTGCTTCACAAAGGCTGCATTACCTATTTCTTACCTTAGCATGAAAATCAGTAAGGGCAAGAAGAAATGTTGTTTATTTAAGGGAATTTTTAGAAATTAATTGATTTTTTTTACTTGCGAGAATAACTCTCTTTCTTTGTGGGGGTAAGATCACTCTATTGAAAAGTAATCTTGCTACTAATCCTTTGTATTCCATGCAAGTGTCTAAAATTCCCAGGACCATTATGCAAAGGTTGGAGAGGCTCTTTAATAAATTTCTCAGGTTCAAGAAAGATTCTCATAGCTTTCATTGGGCTAATTGGAAAAACTTATGTAAAGCTATCAATCTTGGTGGTTTAGGGGCTTCAGATCCTTTGATGATTCCATGAAAATTAATTTCATGAAAATTTAGATTAAATTCAAGGTTGATAACTGATACACCTAAAATATATAATCTTTATGCACACATTTTTATACCTATTTTTTGAGATATTGCGCTTTAATAGAAAGTATTTGTGTGTTTTTGTGTTTTTCTTTCAGATTTGTGTGTTTTTCTTTCAGGTACAATCAAATGGATGAAAAATTATGAAAGGAGTGAAAAATTATCAAATTTGGAGCAAATGAAGAAGATGTGTGATACACCTAAAATATATAGTGTTTCTATATACATTTTAATACATATTTTTGTTATATTGATCTTTAATGAAGGTATTTCTGTGTTTTTCTTGCAGTTACAATCAAATGGGTAAAAAAAATGCTAAACAGAGTAAAAAAGGGTCAAATTTGGAGCAAAAATGAAAAAAGGTACAAAAATGAATCGGGGCGCCTAAGCGTCCAAGTTTGACGCCTAAGTGTTAGAGGCTCCATGCTTAAGTGTCAGGCACCCCGCGCTCAGCGTCAGAAATAGTTACTTGATGATTTAATTAATTGGAGCGGATTTTTGAAGAGATGTTTGAAACAACCCTTAATAAAAATGTGGGAAATAGCCCATGGACACAAAAATTAACTCAATTGGCTTTTTAAGCATGCAACTTCTAGAAGATTCATTAAATGGACACTTTTTTTAAGAGACACCAAGGCACCCCTTGGGTTTTTATAAGAAAAAACTTAGATTTTCCAAGAAGGAGGCCAGCAACCCATCAAACTTTACAGCCACCATCGCCGTCGCCGCCACTGCCGACCACCTTTATTTTATTTTATTTTATTTTAAGTGTTAGTTTGTATTGTGAAAAAAGAAAGAAAATTCAAAGGAAGGCACCCCTTGGGTTTTTATAAGAAAAAACTTAGATTTTCCAAGAAGGAGGCCAGCAACCCATCAAACTTTACAGCCACCATCGCCGTCGCCGCCACTGCCGACCACCTTTATTTTATTTTATTTTATTTTAAGTGTTAGTTTGTATTGTGAAAGAATAAAGAAAATTCAAAGTAACTTCAAGAAATTTGGTGAAGAAAATTTGAGATAAGTGTTTATCTTTGTGTCTACACTTGGTTTTAATTTAGATTTCTTATTTGTGTACATGATTTCTACTTTTAAACTCATGTGTGGTTGTATTTTCTCTATGGATTCTGAGTAATTTTTTTTATCTTTTTCCTTAAAATGGTAAGTGATTAAATATTTAAAGGTAGTTCTGTGAAGTATTATGCTTCAATGTTTGAAGAAGTTATGATGATTTGAAATCTTGCACTTCATTTACTTCTTAATTTGACCAATTAAGATGTTAATACTTGTTGTGAGAACATGTAAGATCTGAGATGGTATTGTCTCAGTCAACAAATGATTTGAATCACATATTGATTTCATGAATGATAGTGTAGTTCATGGGGTTGAGTGCAAATAAATAGGGAAATAAATTTTTAAAGGGTGTAGAATTATAGGACTTTAGAGTGACAGACTAAAGCCCACAATTTGATTTATAATTTTAGATTTTGATATGAGATGTTAGCCCCCTGGTGGAGGAAAAAAGGGGAATTCTAGAGTGAGAGCTAGTATCTTCCCTACCTAGCTGGTCTTCAAGACTATTCAAACTATAGATTAACCAATGTTCTTTATAACATCTTTAGTAAGGGTAAA